AAACTCATTTAAAACAATGCAAACAATATTTAACATTCTTTAAATTTTTATTACATTTTAAGACAGCCATGTAAATAAGATTAATAATAAACCAGGTATTCCTTTCTATTCCAAATGTTTATTAATGGAATTTTAATTTAGTACTTTCAAAATCCTAAAAAAAATAAATTTTGATTTTTCCAGCATTTTTGAAAACAGTTATTTGTTTTATTCATTTAAAAAATAATAATCTCATAGAAATTCTAATATTTTCTCAGGTAATAACTTTGATTTGTCAATCACCATTTATTTTGGCCACGAATCTTTTTAATTGGACAAATGTGAATAAACCAAAGTCAGCCTTAGTTCAACAAAATCTGCTGCATATCTGTTGAGTAGCCTTTTAGAATATAGGTATAGCATTAAAGATTACATTAGTCCATTGTGTTTTGTTCTATTATGTTTCATATCCTTTCAGTACATGAGCAATCATGACTCTCCACAACTTCATGTCTTTTGTTGATCTTGGCAACTTTTGACCTTTTAACTATATCTTAGTTCTTGCTCTGCCATCTTATTAAGTTACTCACTATTTCCTCCTGCTTCTCTCTAATGTGGTCCAGAAATTTCATCTGCATCTTCCTGATTATAAGTAGCAGTTTATTTATATTTCCTACTTTTTTAAAACTTCCTTGTTGTTCACATGTTTCATCTATGGTATTCTCAACATTGATTAGTAGAATTATATTTCCAGCCCTTCAAATTTCTTTATCTGTGAGGAGATTGTCCAGCCTTTATTGGAGATTAGATATTACATAGCATCTATGCCCTTTGTTTCTAAGAACATATATTTTTCTTATCTCTTAATAGTTTGCTTAGTTTCTGAAAAGAATTTTTATTATTCCTCTTCTCCTTTGTATTTCTGTGTCAAACTTTCTGTTATCTGTAACTACACTAACCAGATTAGTTAAATTAATGTACCTGCTTGATTCTGGTGTCTTCAATTCAAAGCTCACATATTAGATTATCTTTTGCTGACAATCATGCATTGTCTTCTTACAGTGAAAAGTTAGGCCTTTCACTTGCTTTCCTTTACTAATTTGTCTAGGATTTCTTTTACTTTTCTTTCTGAGTCTGACATCAACATAGTTTGGTATATTATTAAATCTATACAAGAAAAAAGGAGGCATGGTGGAGTAACAGATAGCAGCTTGGATTAAGGAATCAGAGAGCTGAGTTCGAATTCCAGTCGAATCCATTACATTCACTTATGTGCTAATACCCTTGGGAAAGGTGTGAATCCTCTTCTCCCTCCAGCTACGGGTAAATAGCAGGAAAGGCTGGGTTCTATAGCCTTGGATGGCAACTGGTCTAGGAAAAGGACAACTCTGAATTCAAACCCAGAGTGGAACCCCAAAGGTGGATGGATGGCACTTTGTGCTACCTTCCGGCAACTTTTGCAGCCGCGTTAGTACCAAACTGTATTGGTTTATCATCTCCTTTGGACTCTGCTAGCAAGGCCGAGAGGGGGAACTAGACGTCCGGGCAGCCCTAGTTCTCCATTTATCCCACCCAGGCACATAGCGCACTGCGCTACTTCATCGTCTCTCGAGACGGACGGATGCCAATGATGATGACAAGAAGAAAATGAAATATTTTAAGATTTCTACTTAAGTATATAGTTTGTATAGTAGTGGAGCCACGATTACTCCAGTGCTTTCTGTATTCTGTTGAGGTTTCTATCAGACTCGATGGATTAATTAAATATAATTATCAAATCTTCCTACTAATTACTATCTGTGTTTATCATCGCTTGAACCGGCTTCTAATGCTCCAGTTGGTAGCGGCTTGGTGAGAGTAGTCGTGGCTCCAGGTGGCACAGTCCTATGGTTACAGAGAACTCAGTTGAGTTCAGCCACGGAATATGTGAGCGAGTGGCGCTAAGTTGAGTCTGATGTGGAATCTCTTCATCACCAAGCCCCATTTGGAACAGTTGGTATGATGTTCACTTGACAACCTAACTGTCAGGGTTTCAATTCTCTGTAGTGGATGCACACTGCTGATGAGTCCCAAATATAGGACGAAACGGCCGTCCAGTGCTTTCTGCATTCTGTTGAGGTTTCTATCAGACTCGATGAATTAATTAAATATATATATATATATATATATATCTCCGAATTATCACTTTCCAGCCTTGACCCTTATAACAATCTCATTCATTAATCCTCTATCTTGAGTGGCTCTTGGCCTTGTATTGAGTGAACAATAGTGTGTGCATATATACTTCATAATCTGAATATTTTAGGCTTAAATCCCCAAAATACTTTACAAACTTTGAGGATGGGTTCCTCATGCCAAAACAAGGAGGAAAATTTTGTTTTTGAGTTATTAAGTTTAAAGTTTAGGGTAGACGCTGTTAAATGTACAATCCAAGATACAATCCAAAAATACTTTTACAAACTTTTGGGACAGATTCCTAACACCAAAACAAGGTAAAATATACATATAAACATATGTCCAAAATGCCATCATTTTACCTCAACACAGCAGCTATAGCAAATGTTATAAAATGTCCTCCACTTGCTTCTACACACACATGCACTCATTGGATCATTGACTGGCAGACACTTTCAAATGCTCCCACACAGTGCCAAATGGTTTCACAAGCCCCCCATGACATATTAATGAAGTGTCTCTGCATAAACCAATTTTTTAGGTGGAACCACAGATAAAAATCCAAAGGATCGCGGTCAGAGGAATGCGCAGGCCATAGAACTGATCCTTCCATACCTCTCCTTCTTTCATGGTATATGTTAGCCAGTGCATCATGAACAATGTGACTAAAATGTGCTGGAGCCCGATCATGCATGAAGCACATACATCTTTGTATTAGCAGGGGTGCATCCTCTAGCAGGTCTGAAAGTTTTTTTCAAAATAAAGTCCCTGTATACAGCTCTTGTTTAGATGTGCTGGGAGAAGATATGGAACTACAGTACATATGGACAATTCCAGCCCACACATTAATCATAAACTGATGTTGGTGTCTAACCTGTATTGTACCATAGGGTTTCCAACTACCCACTAATGTTGGTTGTGTAAATTTGTTATTCCATCTCTTCCAAATGTTCACTTATCCATAAACAAGGCTGAAGAGGCAAATAACAGATTGACAGTTTGTGCAATAAATCATTGGCAATTGTTCTCCTGTGGTGATTGATCATAGAGTGAAAGACCCTGCACACATTGCAAATGATATGGATACAGGAGCTGCTCCATGTGGTATTATGTGATGTACAACATGCTAGGGCCACTTGATGTGTGCTGATACCTGGATCATCTCTGACAGTCAATAGAATGTGTTCTTCATGGTCAGGTGTATGAGTGGATCTCAGTCTTTCTCAGTCCATAGTCTGTGGTGCCATGGATCCTGTCTCATGATGTAATGATAAACAGCAGCAAAGGTTGGATAACTCAGCTGCCTTCAGTGTGAAAATGCAATCTGATATGTAGCCTTGTGTCTATTACCATTCACACGGATGTATGCAAAAATCATATCTGCCTGCTCATGATATGAATATCCTGCCATTGTTAAATGGAACACTTCTCAGTTAACTCATTGCTACACATGTTAAATATTGAAGGCGAACTAATCACAAATATACATGGATGACAAATGTAACCTTGTCTACATGCTAATACAGTGCTATCTCCTATAAACTTTAAACTTAATAGCTCAAAAATGAAGGATTTGCAGACATAAATTTATATGGGCTTTTGTCCTTGTTTTGGTGTGAAGACCTCACCCCCAAAGTTTATAAAAGTATTTTTGATACCCCCTTTTATATATATATATATATATATATATATGATAAAACACAGAATAGTATCAGCAAAGATTGAAGAGTGAATCATTAAAACTTATGACCAGATAAAGAAAAATAAAAAAATAATAATTAAAGTGAATGACACAAGCAAAAGAAAAATAAAGAGCTGAATAAAAAAAATGTCAGTTCTAACAATCTTTTTATTTCCTTGATTATTCAGCAACAACATTTCAATGTTAATTTCTGATCATTTATTCTTTTAATTTTCAACCTAAGAAAATCAAATAGGCACAAAAATAGGCGTGAGAGCCAATACTGTATTCTTATGGAATGTGAATAATGTGGAAGTCCTTCTTTTATAGTTTTTGGCTAAAGATCTCTCCAATCTTCTTTAAGGATAGAAACAGTACAGTGATAAATAATCATGTTGCACTGTCATTATTATCCAAAGGGCTACAAAGACTACATATGAAAAAGATGACAAAGGGCTGGGGTGACATAAACTTAATTCTGACCTAAAGATGTATCTAGAACTAGACATCTTAACATTCATAAATATATATGCATTAACAGTTATTGATTACATCCAAGTGAATAGTTAGATAAGGAACAAATAGGTAAAGCTTTATAAATTTAACATGTTTTGATATTCTTTTTTGCTTCAAAAATTTCTGATAAGCAAAACATGTTATATTTATAGACATTTTTCTACTTGTTCTATATTTAATCATAGATATATATGTAAATTTGTTTTGTGACATTAACATTTTCATATCACATACATTGAGGATTACAAATTTTAGAAATTAACATGATATACATATTTTGTCATTACCCCTTAGTCAACAAAGGAAAAATTCTAATTCTTATAGGAGGAGAGCCACACACTTTGGTCTAAGTGTGGATATTGGTGGGATAATCAGTTAATAGAAATTTGGTCTGTTTAGAATTTATCAGAATGTTTAAAAGGGTCTTATGCTTTCTTTTATAATACCTACATGAAGTCAGGTGAATCTCTCATCTCTTAATGGAATTTCCATCTCATATACGAGATGGTCATGGCAATGTGTATTTCTCCTTTTGATCATTATCACATTCTTCTAGAAATCATTTTAAGTAGCAGCAGCAGCAGCACCAGCAGCAAGATATTTTATGCTCCATGTCATCTCAATTTAGACATCAAGATTTCATTTTTACGACATTCCTGAAAATATGATAAAAATAAATTGTAAAATCAAGAGCAGCAGGAGGTTTGAGAGTAAAAAAAACTTTTAAAAATATTCAAATATTGCATAGGAAATCATTTATATAATAAAGCCCAACTTTTAGGATGACTAGCACCTTTCATCCGATGACTGGCACCTTTCATCCTATAAAATGATATTACTCTCATGGTGGTAACAATTTTTGAAGAAGATCTGGGAGAATATTGGTACTTACTTCCTGGAAATCTTTGATAGTCTTAAAATAGAGACGTTGATTCTCAACCAGAGCCAAATATTCATCATTATATTGATCTCGCTTCATTTTTTCCTCTTGTTTCTTCTTCTCTACCTAAGAGAAGAACAGTAGCAGAATTTGAATGAAAGCAATCTCAAATGCACTGGAACATATAAGTACAGATGACTCTTTACAAGAATAAATCAGTATAAGAATGAGAAGAGAATTTCACTATAAGAATTATTGATATAATAGAATAAATATATTAAAAAGATCACCAAGATACTCAAAACCAACAAAGAGTAAATCTACTATCTGATAATTAAAACTGTAATATATTAAAACAGTTTGTTGAGTGGCAAATCATCTTAGTGGTAGGGATGTTAAAATACAACTGTCTTCTGGCATTGCAGCTGAGAGTTTTCACTTTTTACTCAAAAGTAAAATAGAAAGAGAATGTTGAATGAAGAACTCATTTCATCTGACCACCTCCAACCTCAGTGAAAGGCAAAGGTGGCAAGACATGAGGACAATCTCCTCCACACTGCAGCTAAATGGTTGCTTTATATACATTTCCTTGCTCAAAACCATGAAATACAAGCATATATTTAAAGTCATGTGACTATATTAAGTCAGTGAATACACACAATAATTCTGTGTCAGTGTATATATTACACAAGTTTATTACTCTGCTTTAAGAAAAATTGTGTTTTATCAATAAAAATAATTATTTTATTTAATGAGTAAATATGAAAAATTTTAAGAATAAATTTCAGGTTCAGTAAGAAAATTACATAATGTATTATTTGTAACATAATAAACATTTCAATGAAATAATAACTGTTTAATATTCAAAGGAATTATGAATCACAACAGAATGTTTAACAAAAGAATAACTAATGAGTTATTCAGGTTACTGAACTCATTTTGTTGATTTTGTTAATAGTACAACATTTCAGTCATTCTTTTCTACAATGTTCAAAGAGAAAAGTGAACTAGGTCTCTTTTTCTATTTTTTAATAAAAAAAAATAAACTGAAAATAATAATGGCTAATATATCAACCAGTTCAGTGGGATTCCATTGTGTAGGCATCCTTCTTTATAATATTACCTAGTTATATTTCTTGTATGTGAAAAACAGTCAGGAAAAGTCACAAGATGAGGACCAAATACCAAAAAATAATTTGGCATGTGTTTATTTGCACATGGACCAAAAGATAAAAACAAATGGTACATTTCAAGGACAAACAAAACAAAACAACATAGACTTATGATAAACTCAAATTTATACACGTGTCTTGATATACATTTGGATAAAAACAAAATATAATACCATGCAAAAAAAGAGAAAAACAAAGTCTGTTCTTTGGAGAGTCTTTGAGAAAAGTTTACTTATTCTTTATGGAAGTAGAATGAAAAACCACTTTGTTTAATTTCAATTCCCTGTGTATGACTAATAGATGATCCAGGTATTAGCTTTTTCTCTAAAACCTGCCTCTTATCACAATTGAACTATATCAGTTTCATGCCTTTCTGAGAAGAAAATAAGACATCTTGTAGAGAGAAACAAAAACCCACAAGAGTAGCATTCTTGAGTTTCCAGTAGCCTACTGGTTACCTGGCAAATCCAGTGAACTGTTTGCTACTAAATAATATCCTCATTTGAAATCTGATACAATCTGATGTTTTTCTTGAATTTTTTTTGTAGATTGCTCCTCCTTCTGAAGACAATATTCAAGTAGACAGGCACTATACCCCATTAGGGCCTAATGAGGTTTTTTCCCCTCCAGAGTTCTACTTTTTGAAAAGTTGTGAGTGACAATGATGCTGATACTTTAAGCATTATGCAACATAGATGATTCCGTATTGTACCCAGAAATGGTACCAAATTCCCTCTCTGCCAAAGGATGGAAATTACACTGCAGTGAAATTCACACTTGCTTGACTTAAACATCTAACAGGATTTAATTTTCTTACACTCCAGTAATTTTGGACATTATTTTGAAAAATGATATGCCACATTACAATATTTTTCTATGTTACTCAAGTTTATGGGAACAACTGGTGACTCATTTTCCACATTTTCATTGGATGCTATAAATACAATTATTTTTTTCAAATCCTTCTCCCATGAAAAACCAACTTTACTAAAAAGGTTGTGAAGAGCAGTTGTATTGAAAGTTACAATGAAGTTGTTATAGCCAGAAATCATTTGGATTTGTTCAGCTGCTCCTGTACTTACATATAGTAAGTTTGATGTAGCTATCCAGTTATATTTCTGTAGTGATTTGATTTTAAAACATTCAGCTTGTGGAAGGTTAAGGATTTTGAATTTCTATTTTACCAAACAAGTACAATTTATTTATAGGTAAATGTGTAAATAAACAAATATCAAGAAGAATTTGTGTACCTTCATTAAATCTTTGCTGAAACTACTTTAAAAATGATGACCATTTTGATTTGAAATTTTAGAGGAGTTATTATCAAAAAAAAAATTGTTTTTTTACTTATTTTTGGCAGTATTTAAGCTGATCAATTTTTTAGCCTTTTTCAGGTGAATGTAACATTTAGTGAACAGATAAAATATTTTAAATACCAAATTATGGATTATAACATAAAAAGGTTAGAGATTTTACTAGCAAAAAAATAAAATAAATCAGAATCTTAACAGACCATTTCAAGTGAACCAAATTAAAAATTAATTATGTTACCTTTAATCGATTTTGTTTCACGCCTTCAACAATTTGCTCCATTTGACGCAAGAATTGTTCTTTAGTGTTACTTGAACCCATTGCTCTGTAAAATCAAAGTTTTAGAATTAGCCTTTAATATTTATAGAATTGAAGTCCCAATCCTTAAAACAAACTCACCCACTTGGTTTCTTCCAGGAAATAATCAATATGTATTCCTGTGTCTAGTAAATATTAATCTTTTCTTTTAAAACAATTTTCAACTTTGATGCAATTTTATTCTAGAACCATATGTTATCATATCCCATAACTGATCAATCATACTTATTATAAAGGTTGTGTGTGTGTGTGTGTGTGTGTGTGTGTGTGTGTCTCTGTTCGTTTATATATTGGATCAGATTTCCTACATTTTTCAACTGATTTCAACAAAACTTCACAGGACTATGTAAAATTACCTTGCGGTGGTTCTGACAGCATCAAAAATTGGAAAAACAATTCTTTTTGCATGAAATCAATTTGAAAACATAATTAAGAGGCATCACTATCGTGAGAATGAAAAGGGGACAACACATATCGAGTTATACTTATAAAACCCAGGTTGTTTGTGTGTGTCTGTGTTCGTTTATATATGTGATCGGATTTCCTACATTTTTCAACCGATTTCAACAAAACTTCACTTTTTTTTGGCAGGTAGTGTTTCTTATTGTCTTGCACACATTTTTCTTTATTTTTACATTCAGAATGCTTTAAAAATTCCATTTACAAGGCAATTGTCTATAATAAAATTCTATTCAATTGGTAGACTCATAACGATTGAAAACAATGTTTTTGTTTGAGTTTGACCAATTCGTAAAAAAACAAAACAAAAAAAAAAACAAAACAAGACATGCATGTCTGTCAACCTTAAACAATAATCTTTCTCAATTTTATTTTTCAGTGTTTATGGTGGTCGATACTTGATCTATCTCTTACTGTTACATCCCCGGGCAACGCCAGGCTCTACTGCTAGTCTCTGATATATATATGAATCAATTTGGCCATTTCGTGTTGATTTTCTTCAATCTTATCAATGTTCAATTGTTACTGTATAAAAAATCTGCAATTATTACAAGAATGACAAAAAGGGTAACAAGTTTTTGGCAATAATTCCATACATCATAATATCTTTATTCCCAATAGTTACAATGAATACATTTTATTGCATTTTAGTGAAACAATTTTAAAAATGTAATTCTTCTAATGATTTTAATTTTGGCCAGTATCATTAATATTTATTTTCTAGCATCCTTATAAAGTGGAGATTATGATAAAAAGTTATTTGTTCTTCTTTCATTCAACCACTGGTTATGTTTTTTAGGATGAATAAGTTCTTATCACTTCTTGTGGAGTATAGGGTCACACAACCTCACCATATTAGTATTGGTGTTGTGGTTTCTATATTTTTTTTTTTTTTTTTAAATGGAGCAGGTGTGCCAGCCTCATGTCTCACAGGTTTTGGAATCAGGGTTATCCTTCCCCTAAATTGTTTGCTAACTAGAGCTAGAGAGCCTAGTCTGCCTTGCTATTTAATCCCTAAATGGGAGAAATGGGTTCATACCTTTTCCTAAGGATATTTGTATGAAAGTGAATGCAACAACCTTGGCTGGAATTTGAACTCTGCACGACAACCTGTTTTCCACATCAATAACTATTACACTATGTTCTCATCCACATCTTCATTGGGTACTTTGATATGGTGTAGTGGTTAGCAAGCTTGTCTCACTAGATCAATTACAATTGAGTAATGAGTTGGATGGATGGATGTTGGATTTAACGGCATGTCAACTCCTATTTTAATGAGTTGGATCCTCACTGGGTGCCCCATACTTTTAGCCTTGTGCCACATCTAAGCAAAAATTAGAAAACCACCATCCATATCTTTATGAATAGCTTACAATTTTTGCAAGCATTGGATAACTTCTGTTTTCTTTACAGAACAATCATATGAATGTTAAATGCAACAATTCACAGGGACATCCCATACGTAATATTGTGTGTGTGTGTGTGTGTGTGCTCCAGGTAGTTGAGAATAAATTATAAAGAAAAACAAAAATATTCAACAGAAAAAAATGTATGCATATTCCACTTAGAAAAATAGAAAAATGTTATTCAATAAAATTGTCCCCAGCTCAAGAATAGCTTTAATATAGTTTCAGAAGTAACTGGTGGTTCTTGTTCATATTGAAAATTACATTTCCAATGGTAGTCCTTGGTATTATGAAGCCATTGGTTGGCCTGTCTCTTGACAAATCTTTGGACATAGGAGCTAAGGGCATTCAAATCAGACATGCTAGGAGGCCACATTTTAGTGTGCAACATTACTGTAAAAATTCTTAGCATGCTACTCCTAGGCCATGTGAGAAGGAGCAAAATCCTGCTGGACTGAACATATATGACTTCCCCTGAAGAAATAGGGTGGCATGTCATGGCTCTGATGAACATCACAGATGTCATGAACTTGGTGTGTATCACTTTGGATACTCCCACACAAAGACACCAGTTATTCCTCATGTTTTATCTTCTGATAAAACTTGTCCACAAAGAACTTTGATCAGATCACTCCATGGTTTTATTGGACAAACTGTCCTTTCAGCACACAGGACTTGTACCTGATATTCTTGGACACTACACATCCAATAGGAAATTCTGCCACCTTAAGATGTTCAGTGATAGCCCTCATCAATTTACTGGGTTTGTGGTTGAGGATGTCCTGAGTCTGTTGTACCAAACTCTGTTATCCTTAAGATATCTGGCAGAATACTTCTTTTTCATGAACATAGATGAAATGATCCCATTAGATGACCAGTTTGTTCTTCATCATGAATACAAAAGACTTCGCCACTTTCAAGAAGTTAGTCACTGTGGCTAGCACCTAGTGTGATGGTGTTCTTTTTTAATTTCTTGTATTAGACTGCAAGCGGTCATGTTAATGTTCTCAACACATTTGAAAGAGGTATGAGAATGTTCAAATACTGCATGTCATCTTCCATTCATGGCTCACTAAATTTGAGAAGACAACATAAGAGATATTAATAAAAATGCAACATTTGAGATTCAAAATTTGAAAAGATACTAAAAATCCTTAGAACATAGAAATGTAACACCCCCTCACTCAAATTAAGTGTTGGAATAATAACTTACGTGCTGAAGTTGTCATGGATAGAGTTTAGTAGATTCACCTATGAAAGTAAAAAAAAAAAAAATTATGTTAGGGAGATACAAGACCAATTAGTTATAAAACCTGGTGTTCATTGAAAAGTACTATAGGGAAATGTATATTTCATCAGACTATGATTAAGCATATGAATATCAATGTGTACATAAAAATAAAAAAAGATTATAATGATAAAAGATTATAATGCATGAAAAACAATATGCAAAGAGAAAGTCATTACTTTATAATATTAATCAGTCATTGAAGACTATAGTTTGAAAAGCTTTGTTGAAATCCTTGTCTTGATGACATTGCTAAAAGGCAGTAAAGACATTCACAGTAAAGTGATAAATTTAATCCTCATCAAAAGATACATTTTTTTTCTTTGAATTCTTAGTTCAAACAAACATTAAATACATAATGAGCAGGTATATGAATAGAAGTATTGTTTGAAGAGATGTGTATGTAAAACAGTGTAAAGAAGAAAATTATGTAAAACTCTCAGAGCATCTCAGTCTTCATCAGTGTAATTGTAATAATATAATGTGAAGTAGTAGGAGTATTTCACAATCATGGCACATCATCTAATCAAAACATCAGACAATAATAACTGAATTAAAAAAGTACAAAATTAAAATCATGCAAGTTTTATTTAAAAAAAAATAGTAGTTAGTGCTAGCCACTGGGGTAGAAGAAGCAGTTTCTCCTAGAGAAGATATAATTAGTAACTTGAAAATCAGAATATTTTTACTAGAATTTTTTGTAACATGCTGATGTGTGTTGAAATCCTCATAGTATTTAGTATTGTTAAAGTTATCGCTAACATTTTGTCAAGGTTTACAAACTCTGTTTTGTTCAATTTTACAAACCAATTGATGAAATTGGAATAAGCTGATTTGTTTGGAAAAATACTTCGACAAAAACCCAACTTCACAGTTAAATAATTTCTTTAATTTTATAGGATTTCATCGCAAACAATACCTTTTAAGAAAATTTTTTATTTCCTTTTCTCTTTTTAACAGCAAAGAATAAATTCTTAGAATTTCTTACTCTTGAGCACGCAACATACAACTGGCCATGCTTAAATATGCCTGAGTAAAATATACAAATATGTGTATACACATTGATGTGTCCATGACATCATTGAATGCATCATAAGAGTCATTATAAACCCCGAACATACTTACTTCTTTGTTAAGGTAAAGCTTTGTATCATCCAGTGTATTGTATAAAGTGTAGAATTGTTTAGTTTCTTTGTGCTTGGCAGCAACTAAAACAAAGAGAATAAAATTATTGCTATTAATTGAGAACTCTTCAGAATCCCATTGTGTATGAAATATTTCTGATCATCAAATGTGGCAAAAAAAAAAAATAAATAAAAAATAAAAGGCTTTTTAAACTTTGTTTCTAATTTAATGAAAAAATCTATAACCATCAAATAATGAAGTATAACATTTTTAACTGATGTAATAAGAAAAATACATGATTTAACCATATCAATTATAAACCAAGTTACATCCAATCCATAAAATTTGTGCTAACAATTCGCAAATTCACAAACAAGAGGTTAATATCAAAAACAGAATCAAGCTCAAATCAAAGGTGCATTTATTCTTTCTTACCTTGATTGTACAATTCTATGAAACGTTTTTGATATTGGCTAAGTTCAGCACGGGAAGGAACTTCATCAATTTTACGTTGCAACAGGGCAATTTCTCGGTTGACTTGAGCCTACAAAAATATAAATTAATTAATTTTGCTTCCATCTTGAACACCACAGAAATCTATTTTAACTACAAGTAGTCTTATAACATTGATTGTTAATGTCTTGTTTAGTAAAGACCATTCCTACTTTCCACTTCATGGACAAAAATATTAAACATTTTTCATAAAAAAAAAAGGTCTTCATTCTGAATATATCTAAAAAGAAAATGCTTTTATGATAATATCATGTTAAAGGAGCCTAACCAAAAACAAAACAAAATTTATGATTATATTTGGCATGAGCTCAATTCAGTGCAAAATATCTCACCAGCACCAACTTGATCTTCTTCAGCTTCTCCTTGTCTGCATCATATTGGCGCTCAATCAAAGTAACACGTTCCTGAAATACAGAAGTACTATTCATTATATATGAAGAAGCTGGATTTTCACATAGTATTACCACATATGTGAGGAAAAAATCAACAAATTCTGGTGTTATCATCAGGTAGGGTGGATGAAGTACTTTAGTGGTAATGAAGCTTCTACCCCACATTAAACCTGTCCCCAGGCTCATCACCTAATAAATATTTTGCTGGTAGAAAAGCTGTTATTTTATAGCAGTATGCTTATGAAAGGACAAATACATTAAAAAAAATTCTTCAAATGCAATAAATGTTATTAAATACAAAACAGTTATTAAATATTAAATAAAATATTTATTTGATTAAAAAGTAAATATTTTTTTAAATAATCCTCATCTGTTTAGCATAACAAATATACAATCTGGATGAACCTTCCATTATTCTTATGTATTAAGTTTATGTTTACAGCTAGAAACAATGAACCTTTTAGAGAGTTAACACTGGTTATATTATTATTTAATACTAGCTATCAATTAGGAATAATTGATACAATATTATGCAGACATACATGCTTAAAGGATAAATCAATGTAACAACATTTTAGTTACAAATACAACATTTATTTGTACAGAACTTAGATTATTTATTGACTAACATAATACTCATAAAAATACATGATTATGTATAGTCAGTACTTCTATCTTGGATCAGTGTGAATGCTTTGTGAATAGTATTACAAATAAATAAATATATATATATATATATATATATATGTGCGCGTGTGTGTGTAAAAATTCAGATATAATTAAAAATATATCTGTAACAGAACAATAGGAATAAGTTTTTTTTCTTTTTCTTCATATATATATATATATATATATATATATATATATATATATATATATATGTGTGTGTGTGTTTATAACATAAAAATCAACACTACAGGGTGACTGGCAGTTTCCTGTCTTAAGCAATTATTAGACTGTGTGTTACTCCTTTGTGTAAACACTCAGTATATAGGCCACTGGGGGCTTATGAGAAGGAGAAAAACTAATTTCCTGAATGTTTTTAGCTTATTTCTGGTCCCGAATTTGTTTATATTATTAATTTTTTTTGTTTTACTTTATATTTATTTTCTGGTAGAATGTATTTTTTCAGTTCTAAAGTTTGTTATTTGCTTTAAAAGTTCATTAGTTTTTGGTTATGGATTATTAGTTGTTTAGTCTTTGGAGTTGTGATGCGGTTGTAGGTAACATACTAGGTATGTATATCTGCATGAAAGATAAATAGATACACTTTCTGTCTGAATTTCTGGGATGAGGAGTTATTTACAACTGGACTAATGTTTTCATCTTAGTTATTATCATATCTTTTGATTGTCGTGCCCTCCATTCTGCTTCAGATGTTTGTCAATCCAGGTAACAATCAGGGAATTTCAAACTCTTCCTTTAATTTACTAGTGCAGTTTATTTTTGTTCTGCTATGTCTAGAGATATTTCACATGTTTTTATTTTGTTTTGTTTTTTAAGTTATTGTAAATCCTATTACCACTGAGCTGGAGTCTGTACTACCCAAGGATTGAACTCCCAATTATTATACTATCAAGATTATACCTTCAGGATGGGTAGCTTAGAGGATTATAGCAATAGTTTGTGAATTTATTAGCATAGAGAGTTCATTCCCTGGTCCATATAGTTTCAGATTCAGTGGAAGCAGGACTAATGATAACTAAGCAGTACAAAAAAAAAAAAAAACAAGATATAAAAGAAAGAAAAAGAAATGTATAGCAGAATGAGAATCTACCTCCCATAGAATAAATTAAATTCTTGAAGGTTGCCTAAATCAGCAGAGACCTGAAGAAGACCAGAGGGTACAACAGTGAAAACACTGTCATAAAGTTTAACTGTAAATAAGATAGATATACATTGCATTGTAGATATGTGGCTGAGAACATTAAAAACTTTTTTGGGGAAAAACAGTTGCAATTATATTACAATCATTACATTCTGCATAGCATAATCTCTTGTCAAAGTGATCTTTGCTGAAGTTTTATCACTTGCAAATATCAAGGATATTTATTTGGAGAACGTGAATTTGGGTAAATCAACTAATGTGATATTCTTTTTCATTTTCACCAAGCAAACCAACTAAGGAACAAAATTACTTTCTGTCCTTAAGTGTTAAGAGCAAAACAAAGGCAATGTACTCACCATCTCATCATTATCTTCTTCATCTGTTTCTGTTTTCAACTTACGAATATTCTGTTTCAGCCGAACCATTTCTTCCTGTAATCAAGTAAGAAGAAAATAAGAAACAACACTAGCAATATTTTTTGTTGAAAAGAAAGTTAAAATTAAATTCATTATTGCCCATTTATGTAGAAAAAACAACAATCTTAAGATACCAATTGATTACTGAACAATAAAACTTCCTTTTCTTGTAATGAGATGGGTCATTTTTTTTTTGCAATAGATTTTCAGTCTCAGAATTCCAATGATGATTACTATTGTATAAAGGCATATTAACTTCTCTATTTGATTACATAACAATTTTTAAAACAGATTCTTAATTTTAGGTTATATTTTTAGAGGTTAGAAAATTTGTTTAATTGCTGACCAGTAGCTCATTGATTAAGGCATTAAACTAGAAAGTGCACTATTCTAAAGTTAAACCTCAATTGCTTGAAAATATTACAGAACATTTTATATTTCACATTATGAAATGTTTATTAAAAACATGAGTATGTTTTTACAAGAGACTTCTGAGAATGATGATCTTCACCTTAGAAAAAATTAGAATATTTCAAATAAGAACATCATTTTTTCTTATAATTTTTAATAGATACTATTAGAGTCAAGTGTCAAAATTTTAGTTGATGTATCTGACATTGTTCAGAAATTAATCTCTCTTCTTTGTATATATTCTGTTGTTAACACAATGTTTCAATTGATCCATCTTTCAGTCCTTGTCAGGTGTAATCCATGAGAAAAAGAAAACCTTTTAACTCCTCTGTCTGAATAGATATATTAATGACTCCTCTCAATAGATTTGAAAAAAATTAATCACCTTACAATGTGCTTTAAATTCCTGTTCTTGCTTTTTCAAGTTTTCATTCATAGCTACAAGATTACGTAGACTTTCCAGTATTCTGCAATAGAGATAAAAGGATAAATTTAATATTGGTGTGTATATATATATATATATATATATATATATATATATATATATATATACACACACACACACACACACACACACACAAACAATTTTGATTGAAAAGAACTGACAAGGTCTGTCTGTTTAATTTTCTATTGTATTTTTCCAGTTTTCAAATAAGTTGTTGAGTATTGTGCTCTACATTTGGGATAAACCATTTGAATTTCATATTTTGTTATTGTTTTGTTCAAGCATTGCAGATACTTTCAGGAACCAATGGTGTCTGTCTGGTAGTTACAATTCCTTTGTCTACATCTTGGTATTCTTTTGAAAGCTGGAAGTTTGAAATAGTCTACAGTGACATCATATGTAAGATTTATCAGGAAAGAGACCACACAAAAAGAATGCGATTTATTTTGTTTTTTATTACGTTTATTTATTTAATTTTTTCTTCTTATATTAACATATGCACTTTAAGATACCATCTTCTATGGTGAATGATATATTTAATGTAGCCTGTTGATTTTGCATAATAACAGCTTCTAGTGTCTTTGCATTGGATGCTGTAGAGTATTTTGTTATTATCCACGATGCTGTTTTGATAGAGAGAGTGTGTATTGGGCTGCATAAGCAATAACTACTATAAACAAGTTATTGTGCTCTTGAAATACTGTGGCATTGAAGGGATAGTGGTAGGAACAGGTGAAGGATATCACTAGAGGTTCCCAGCTTGAAAATTGCACATGAGGGAAGAAGGGTAGATGGCTATTTTGCACAGCAACTGGTAGTAATTGTATCACAAGATACAATTACTACCAAACCTCCTCACAAGACCTCCTTTCATAACAAAGCAGCCCTTTTTAAGATGGTACTGCTTTTTTCCAACAGAGGATGGATCAAGAAAATGTGAACTAAAAATTGCTTACTCATTTTTATGCCTGTCCTTAGGCACAAAAAACTGCACCAGAACAACAAAAAAGTTAAATGTTAAAGATCTTTTCATTGGGTCTCGAAATTGGTCAGGATAGTAAGAAAAACTTTGAACATAAGACTGCTTTGTTTGCCCGTGTTCTAAAAACGAAAAGCATTGGCACTAAATAAGACTAACTGATTTTGGTTAGCTACAAGAGGTTGATGATGGATACACCTTTTTCTGGATTGGTAGGCCTGAGACCACTAAGAGAGAGCTAGAAGAAGGATTTGCTATTCAACATGACCTGGTGAAAAATCTTAAATCTCAACCTGTTGGCATCAATGAGAGATTTATGCCCTTGTATATTTGCATTGACAGAAATAAATATGCAACTAATTTTAGTTGCTATGTGCCAACCATGAAGTCTAGTGACGAAATTAAGGAGAATTTCTAATCTGAATTATGCAACCAGTTGAAAAATACTTCCATCCATGACAAACTTCTCCTGAGTAATCTCAATGCACTTGTAGGCTTTGATACATCAGTATGGCATAGTGTAATCAAAAAGCATGGTGTTAGCAAGGCCATCAGGGGATGATGGCCTCAGTTAGGTTCAAGGAAGAAGTGTCCAACCTATTCATTGTCACTAATGGAATGATACAAGGTTGTGTTCTTGCACCTCTCTTATTTGTTTCGTATTTTTCTGTCATGCTGGAAACCGTATTTGAGAATATTAAAGAAGGTGTGAGATATGTGTTTAGGACAATTGGTGGGTTGTTTAACCAACAACATTTCAAAGCAAGAACTTAGATGATTGTGCAAACTGTTCATGACCTGCAAATGGCAGATGATTGCACACTTGTAGTCCACACCATTGTGGATATGCAACAGATCATTAACAAATTCTCTTGTTCATCTAAAGCTTTTGGTCTGACCATCAGAATAAAAACAAACAGAAGTTGCCCATCAGCTTATCTGTAACAACCACCCAGCTGTTGCTCCCACTGTTTATGTTGAGGGAAAAGTCTTGAAAATCATTTTCCTATTTCAAATTTTGTATCCTCTTTCATTCCATTTTATCCAATATTGCTAAAAATGAACAAAGAAATTGAGTGCAGGATTGGAAAGGCTAGTTCTGTCTTCGGTAATCTTTACCACAGGTTTTTGAATTCTCATGGTGTTTTGTTAAAGGTGAAAATTGATGTGTACAAATTAGTTGTACTAACATTCCTACTCTATGGTACAGAATCTTGGATTCTGTACCAACTACTTGATGTCTTCCACATGCATTTGCCTACGTACCATCTGCAACAGAAAACTGAATGATCATATTAGAAACAGTGAAATTCTGACTAAATTCAACATGACAAGTATTGAAGGCTTCATAATGAAAATCCAACTCATGTGGGCAGGACATCTTTCTCGTATGAGCAGTAGCAGACTTCCAAAATAACTCTTCTTTGGCCTGCTTCTAGCAAGCAGGTCAGTTGGAAACCCACTCTTGAATTTCAAAGATAAACTCAAAGACAATCTAAAGTGATGCAGCATCCCCCAGGAAAACAAACATCAAAGCAAAGGAACTGGTGACTGTCTTGCTTCTCATCTATACAAAAGTTTGAATAAGGCTGACTTGAACATCAAGATCAACTGTGTGCAAATATCAAAGCAAGTTGGCAACATGCTGCTCCTCTCAATGATATCCTTACCTGCCACTGGCACATACAGTAAAGCAGGCCTTGCTCTCCACTTGTGGAAACATGCAGAAATTGATCCTCAACCACTCGAGTGAAATGGTCAACCACATGTTCCATCTGTCTAAAAGTTTGCAAAACATCCATAGAAGTTAAGCACCTCTTTATTTTATTAAATCCTCATTTGTTGTCCACGACAAGAGAGATAGTCCACAATATATATATATATATATATATATATATATATATATACGCGTGTGTTTCTCAATTTAAATTTAACAAATATAACATAAAATAATAATTTTTACAAACCCTTGATTTTCAGATGATTCTAATTCATTGAGTTTCTCCATTTCAGTGTCTATTTTCTCACTTCTTTCAATTACCTAAAAAAGAGAATGATTTTATATATATCTTTTCATTATAAATTCATATAAAAATTCACAGTACCAAGGAAGTTTGTGGAATCTTAGAAGTGTTCTTGAATTATTCTCCAAACCCGTCACCTTCAGACTATTAATTATTCCACTCCATTTTCAAATTATCAAAAAATTCCTTGAAGAATTCATAGACACAAAGCCAAAATTGTTCTTTTATAAATGTATATTCTATGTACTCTGGTTCAGTCGACCAAACAGAAGCAACATCACAAGAACGAATTAGCACAGAAAACTGATATGAGATTATCCTCTGGACAGCAGAATAAGAACAACTCAATTCTGTGGATTGAATAAAGTGTCTGGTTTGACATTCCAAGAATCTTACCAAATATGACAAGCTTCTGAAGAAGAGTAGAAGTGGCCAAAGATATGACTGTAAAAACCAAGATTATAATGACACCAATTCGATGTATAATAATGATAAATCATGTCAAAATCATACGGAAATTAGAAGGCATAGTGTCTACCAATATTAATAATAAAAGATTTTTCTTTAATGATAGAAAGAAGCAGTAGTATAAGTATCTTATTCAAAATGTATTAATAACATATTAAGATTTATCTATAGGGATATATATCTATGGGTATGAGATGATAACATTTAAGATACACACTTTATTATTTAATATATTGCAAAATTGTTTATGAATGCGAACATTTCAGTCTATTTTATAACCTGGTAAATACAAGGAAATATTTTAGAAATGATAGTGAAACAAAGAAAACATTAACACTGTCAGCAGTAGCACTTATGTAGATAACTGTACAGCAAACACTTGGAGGTAAAATATGGTTTCATTTTATTTATATATATCAAAGTGAGTAGCACTTCACATTCAATTTTATATGTATTAATAAAATCATTACCAGTAATATAGGATCACGTTTATATTTCAACACCCCCACTTATGAGTACATTCAAGTTGTTCTTCAGAAGTCTAGCCTTTAAGAAGTGTTCTTGAATTATTTTCTAAGCCTGTCACTTTCAGACTATTTAAATCCAGTTTAGTTGAAATCATTTCAAGCATGTTTAAGAATTTTTTGAGACAGTCACAGTGATTCTTGCAAGAACAACTTCCAGAATATAAAAAAAAAAGATCATTCATCAAAAAATATTGTTACTATCACTGCTGTTCTGTCTTATGTTAGCCACTCAAGGCTAAATGTTTATGAAATGTTAACAAGTGAAAATTAGAGAAAGATCTTGAATTGGGTCACATGAAACAACTGAAACTTATTTGTTCCACTAGATTCAAATATTTAACTTTACAAATAAATTGACTTGGTAAAAGAAAACAATTTGAAATGTAACAATTCAGGACACTCAGCAATAGATACAATCATAGAAAACAAAGACACCAAATAAATTTTTTTATTCAGCCAAGTTAGCTCAGACATTCATGAATCTATCACACCAACCATCACAGTGCTGCATCAAGGTCATTAGGGAGGCATTCTGTGTCATAACATAGCTGATCAATGTAAGTGGTTGCTGGGTGACCAATTCGTCTTGCTCCAGGTTTAGGTGTCCAGAACAGTAGATCACTTGCAAGTTCTTATTTTGCTCACCAGCACATTCTGCATTTGTGTACAATTGTAGAAATATCAAGGATGGGTCCATAGAACTGTGATTTAGTTGGATGTTGTCTCCAGAAGATGATAAGTATATCTCTCAGCATCCAAGTGTAGTTTCTATTGAGCTTAGACGGTAGGGTTTTAGTTAATATACAGAGAGTGGAACCATACATTAACATGGCCTCTACAGTGGCTCAAAAGAATCTCTACTTGAATTTGTCTGGTAGATCAGATTTCCAAATTTTATTCAAGGTGGCCCAGGCTTTAGCCATGCAAATTTTCACATGCTTTTCAATAGAATTTATCTCACTTCCTAGGTATGTAAAAGATTTGACATATTTTATTGGTTCACCTGAGACAGTTTGTATTGAGCCCTGCTGGTTGAAGCCTATGAATCAGTTTTAGAGGCATTGACAGAGTCCAACATCATTGGCAGCATTTTCTAGATGATGTAAGAGTACTATGGCATTGGTAATGGTGTCTGCAATGATAGCTAGGTCATCCACATAGTCAATATCTGCTAACATTTTGCAGGATATCAATTTGAGAGTCTTGGTGATAAAGTAAAACCCTGATGATGATGTCAGTTGAGGGAAGTTTTCAATACACAGTTAAGGGTGATGACAAAGAGAAAAGGTGCAAGAGTGTCACTGTGGAGGACTCTGGTTGTGATGCCAAAGAAATTAGTGTCACCATCTGGGGATCTAACCAAAGATTTGGTATTTTTGTATAGCATCATTATGGTAGTTACTATCTAGGATCTTCTTCATTTTTCCACTATGTACAGAATAAAAGTCTTTACAGAAACTAACAGAAAAGTAAGATGGCCTGTAGATTCTTTGCTCTGACACTCATTTTGTCTAACAGTCAGAATTTGTCCAATGGTTGATCTATTTTTTCAAAAAGCCATTTTGATTTTTTTTGAAGCACCTTTTCTACTTCCGGCTGTATTCTATTGAGAAGCATAGAGTTGCAAATTTTTGTTGCAATGGAGGGGAGTGTGATTCCCCTATAGTTTTTTGCCAATTTGAGATCTCCTTTCTTAAGGAAAAGGAAGTATACAGCCTTCTGTTCATCTTTCTATGTCTTCTCCCTTATATGTACCATTACAGAGTAGAATATGACTGAAATCCCAAGTCTTCCAAACCCCCAGAGGAATGTTATAAAGTCACACTGCTTTCTTATTTTTGGTGTTTTTTTAAGCTTTCAAGTTCTGCATCTGTTAAGATTCCAGGCTTAATGTTAAGAGGATATTCAATGAGTTGCTTGACCTTATATCTAAAATGTCGGGTACATTTCCCCCTAAGAGAATTTTAAGTGATCTTGCCATTTATTTAATCTTTCAGCCTGACTATTGGCCTTTAACTTGGTTTTGTTTGTTGAGTTTCTGCCATCGATCTTGTTGACAATTTTCCAAGCAGGAGTAGAAGAGTCAAATTTTTTCCTGGATGTATTCAACCTTATTGATCTTCATAAGAGTTCTTGAGTTTAGCAAGTGCTTCATTGAACTCTTGGATAGATTTAAGGGATGGATTTGAATTTCTTATGTTGGCTTTTTCTTTCACATCAGCCCTTTTTGATTTAATTCTATTTGATTCCAAAGGAATGTGTTGTTGATGTTTAGGTATTAAGGTTATGACATCTGCTGCAGCTTTTTCATGAGAATTGATAAAATCATTGTAGGTTGTATAAGGGGATGGTTCCTCACCATCTGCTTGTAATGTTTCAAATTTATTTCTGACAGCAATAGTGTACTGGTCTTTGAAGTGGCTAGTTATACAGTGGGAAAGCAGACTGCTTTTTTTTATTGGCTCTAAGGCTAAGTCGGATGGTGGAAGAAAAAATCCAATGATCTGTAGATGCTGAAGGCCAATGATCAAAAATGCTGAAGGCCTAGGAATTCATTGCACTGTTCTTCCACTTCTTATTTATCAGGATGTGATCCAGTTGGGTTTTTGTGCTATTGGCACTGTTTCGAGCTTTTCTTCTGAAATTTGGTGGTTAGGCATACAAGATTATTTTCCTATATAAAGTTTTTGAGATAGATCCCATTTCTGTTTGAGAACACATGATATGCAAATTTGTGTACATCATTGACACAAACTTGAGCATTCATATTCCCACCAATAATCAGGAAATTATGGTTTAGGATTTAGTGTGACAAAAGAAGAGAGACATTGATAGAAATGCGTCACCTTTTCTTCATCACTAGAATTTGTTTGTAAACAGCAGAAGATGATGGTTGTTATAGGGATGCTAGAAGCTAGCTATGATGATTCTGGGTTCAGTTTCATCAATGGTCATGAGCACTTTATTATAGGCTAGTGGATTGAGTAACATGCCAACACTGCCAATAGGAATACCTGTGGAATATTAACTTTCTTGCAACATATTAAGAACTTGAACAACATATAAAAATTTTCTAATCATTCTATAATCTACTTTTTTAGCAGTGATATTCATTTTACTTGTTAACAATTCATTCCACATCTCAAAACTTCATCAATATTTTAGTTTCAAGTGTTATGAAATAGCAGCAGATATATGAAACTCATTTGATGACTAGAAGCAATTTGATTTGTTGAAAACCCAGGTTGTTGTTATGATTCATTCCAACACTGCAACCTGATGCTTAAAAATGACTAACCTTTGATTAGAAGTGTTTTTGCCATAGGCTGATTTTTAGCTTTTTCAGCATTCAAGGTAATTAGTTTAAATGTGAACCTATAATTCTTCTTTCAGTGACCTTTTTCCACTATTTCTTTCTTGTTTGTTTGTTTGTTTTCAAAGTTCATCCATTTCTTTCTGTAAATATTGAGACAGACTTCTTAACAGCTGCACTTGTGCTTAAAGCTGCTTATTTGCTTGTGTGTTTAAAGCTTTCAACTCTTGATTTGTTGAGAAATATTAGAACTATAGTGACAATTTTAAGTTTTTGAGTATAAAAGAGCAGTTTATTAATATATTTGAACAAATAACAACAAATAAGTAATCAGTAATAAATAATGAGTAAAAAGTTAAACAATATAAAATAGCTACAAATAACTGTTCTTGGATTTATTTCTACTCAATTGCTTCTAGAATAATTTGAAATCTAACCATTACCACCCACCCAATAACTGTCAGGATATAGCCTGAAGATTGCATGAAACAGACCATTGCTGCTTGGGTTGAACTCAGTGCCCACATACACAATTTTTATATATATATATATATATATATATATATATATATATATATTACACACACAAAGTATTGGTAAAACCAGAGATTTTGTCAGGTTACCATAGAAAAAGTTACTAAAAAGAAAAAATAAACACCCAATAAAACAAAAACCAAGAAAAAAAAGCAATAGAAAAAAAATGCAGAATGATACAAATTAAGAAAAAAAAGATCCAAAGACAGACATCAACCTAAACATTAATAAACAGTAGTTTATGCCAAAATTACCAAGAAAGAGAAATTATTCTTCCAAACATAAAAAATAAATACAATTTCTCACACATCCTTAGGAGATAAATAGATTCTTTTTCCTTTTAACTCAATTTAGTGACCAGGGTTTCTTAGGAATCTTGTCTCCAGCCCATCTTTGTGTCAATTTAATGACCAGGATCTTTCAGGAATCCTGTATCCAACCATCTTTGAATTAGCAAACATAAAATTTTGGTAGTGATTTTCAATAATCATAAAAATAGAGTCCTTTGAAAAACTGACCACCCAAAAGCTGAATGGGTGGTCCCCTTTTTCAATTGGTGGAACACAAGTAAATGGATAGGGATGTGGGCCTTCCAGCCAGTATCCATATAATGAGTGGTCAGTGAAGAGACTGTCAGCAGGCAGTGAGATGGACAGGCAGTGAGTGTAAGGATCCTTTTTCCATGGCTGGAAGTTAGTGAGATAACAGGAGTTTGCCTTCTCAAATCTGAAGGAAGATATTGCTGATTAAGTGATAAATCGTATTGCTGGCTACTTCCCAACCAGTGTCTTGAAAAGAATTTGTCATTATTTGTTGAATTTGATCATGGTTCTAATATTGAAACAAACTGTGATCATAGCGAGCCATATGTATACACAAACAGCTGACCTTGGATGTCATCACAACTTGTGCAGTGACATGTAAAAACTCATCATCACAGTATATTTATAGTGAAAGAACGCTCAAGTTCAATACTTTAATACAATTCTCAGACCTTGGTATAAAATCATACAGTGCAGTTCCTCACTCAATTTTGTGTATATGTTTATATGATCTTTACTGGAGATATGCAATCACATTTAGTCATTTATGTTTACTTTAATAGAGTATAAACTCACTTTCAACAATAACAAAACTTTTAGAAAATTATAATTTTACAAAATCTCACCGCTTTTAAGTTTTCCTGAGTTTGAAGATAAGTTTTATGCAAATCCGAGTATTTGACTTGAATCTGTAATAAATAATATTTTTCATTATTTTATTGACAGTTTTAGATTGGGAAAAATTATTTTTATCAAACAAAATTTTAAAATATTTAATATTACATTAAATTTCATTCAGTCTCCAAAAACTGTTTTTACCATTGTCAATTGTGTGATTTTGACAATTGGGAAAAAGTGCTATAGTGGCTATTGATAAAGGAACTGATAACTTTATTTTAATGGTGTCATTACTTTATAACAAGATTATAAAATTACAATAAGATAGGATAGTGCTCCAGTCATAAAAACAAGTATAAACTTATGACCATTTTTTATAGCATTTAAATATAATGTACTTTGTTGTTCTTGGATTCAATGTTTGAGATTTTCTTCCACTGAAATGAATTCTGTGCTGATTATCAGATTTGAAATCTCAGATTTAAAAACATTCAATTTTATGCTTTACCACTAAATCATATCTATAAATTCAACAGCAAGATTGTAACCATGAAAAAATTTTGTATACATTGACCATTACTAATCTGGCATCATTAGGACCTGTAGAGGTAGAGTGCCAGATAAGTGATTTTTGCTGGATTACTTATGGTTATGTGAGAACAGTGGTTACCAAAATTTTTTTTTTCCTCTGTGCCACATTTTTGGAATAAAAATTTGTTTGTGCCTCACCAAATTTTATGTGATAAAAAGTACATTCAAAAATAAAAAAAAAGAAAGATGGTTAAAGGGAGATAACTGCAGATTCAGAGTCAGAACATTATCATTGATAACACTCTCCTCCAATTTGCAGACCCTAGTTACTATATTCTTAATACTTGATATAATGCAAAAATATCACAATAATAAAATCGGTTAATAATTATTTATAACTATTTATACTGGGACTCATGCATGCAATTACAAGTAATCCATAATAATATTTTAAATTTTGAAATCATATTTATTTTTGGCATATAAATTTTTAAAACTGTTTCTAAATCTTGGATTGTCTTTCTGCTATTCTGTTGAAGCTTAAATAAGCATGGAATAATACAACACAAAATGTACGTTAACAAAATGTATTGAAACAAAGAATAGGTACACAATATTTACAGTTAGTTTGGTATATTCTTGGGAAGACTGTTCCTGCATAATGGGTTGACTAAATCTTGATCGGGCAGAGTCTCTGGATTCAATTTCTTAATCTCTACTATCTTCCCCGTCTTCCGGTACCAACCCATATTTATATGGTCGGTAGTCCGCTTATGTAAATTAGGTGTATCATACACAACATATTCTCTTCTGATGCACCATTTAGGAACCACTGTGTTAGAATATACTTTGCCACTTCATCCTACATTTAAAATAGCATTTCTTTACATCATAAACTGTAGAGGAACCAATGCTGTATAAATCACACAAGCTTCACACAGACAGGCTGCTAGCAATTTATTTTCAAAAGTTCTACCTGTTATGGACAATGTGAGGCGAGTGTGCTTTACATCATGAGAAGAACTTTCTGTATTCATTGGAGTCATTACTGAGGCTAACATCAGCAGGTTATAATAAAAATGCACGAAAGACAAGTAGAAATGCCTTAACAGTGTTTGAAAATGATCAAAAACAGATGATGCAGAAGCTGGCACCAACTGTTGTGGCAGGTACATACAGTGACACGAGAAATGTGAAATTGCTCTCTTAGAAATTGGTGCCAGATTATTGCCAGATTGGTGCTGACCTACTCCAACTTATTTCTCTTAGATATTACAGATTTGTGAATATATAGCAATGATCTTACCAAACCAGCATTCTATATCAACCTAATCAATAATGCTAATGAATGTAAATATTCAGTTGCCTTATGTATTTGGAAATGATCATAAACTATATATGATAAATGTACTAAATATATTAATGTTATCACATGTTTAATTACAAGTTTTATATTAAAATTGAAATTCTTACCTCTTCCAGCTTAATTTTCTGTTGTTGAATTTGTTTACTCAATGCTGTGGTCACTCTCTTATGATGCTGCACACCACCAACTAACTCTCCCTTTTCTAGATGTTCTAATTCAGATTGCTAGAAATAAGACAGCAGTAATAAACAAAAAAGGTAATAACAAAATGCATTTAGTTTTATATGAGATAAAATACATAGTTGATTGCTAATTATCTCAATTTTTTTAAATGGAACAATTACTAATTGAAATCTCTGTAATATGATTATTGAATTGGCTAATCACTATATATTAGCAGTAAAAGAATTAAATGCTATTTTATTAGATCGTTTATTTACAGTTTTATAAAAAATGTGAATCAATTACAATGCAATATTTATTATTTACAATATTATGGGATAACCATATATAATTTTTTTTTATATATGAAAAAGTTTTGAAAGAAAATATGTATGTCAAATTAGAAAAAAGTTTTTGTGTTTTTCTGGGTTTGTTGACATTGTTGTGACTACACATGTGCATGAATAAGAGATGCTGTTAGTTTTAAAATTTAAAAAAAAAAGAAAAAAAAAAAAAAGAAGAAATTCTTTTAAAAATTTTGAAACTACCAGTGTCTCTTATTCATGCACATGTGTAGTCACAACAATGTGAACAAACCCAATGTTCAATGAAGTCCTAACAGATAAAATGCATCACAAAAACTTTTTCTAATTTACCATATTATAAAAAAATAACTATGAAAACAAATTTTTTGTATTCATAAATTTATAAAAATGTCTAAATAATTGAAGAAAATAAACACAATGATGAGTAACTGTAATTATAAATTTAAAATAAAAAAAAAAAAATGAATTTTCTGGGCATTTCTTTCATTTGCTGTTGCCACAAATTCACTAAAATAGTTTGTCAGTATCTAGATTTATACTTTTTTTTCAAGAATTGACAACAAAAATGATAAACACTATTTATTAGTTTGTTTATTTACAGGGATAGTAATTAATACTTTTGTTGTAAAAAAAAAAAAAAAAAAAAAAAAAAAAAGAAAGAAAAAAAGATGATAATATATAAATCGAATTTCATACATTTTGGCTTTTTAAAATAACAAAATTGCTGAGGACTAAACAGTAATAGTGGTGTCAAGAGAAAAAACATTCTTTTGACACATGATTTTTTTGCATGCTAAATTTTCAGATATTTAATGTCAAAAAAAAAAAAAAAAAAAAAAAAGAAAAAGTTATTAAATGAAATCATTCAATAAAGATTATAAACCTGTATGTAGCAATACAACTGTGTATCATTTCATACTTTTTTTTACAATATGATCATATGTCAATAAGTTTGTAGCCTGGCATGTAGTTATCAGCTGGATCATGATTTGAAATTTTCACTGTATAATGTTCAATCTGTATACTTAATATTTATGACCAAATTAAGTGCATCAACAAACAGATTATGCTGAAAAACATTTGTTGTATAAAATAAACATTTTCTTTTTGTTAGGCTACAAACTTATTGAAACAGATTACACAAATCAAATCTGTTAAGTATACTGAATTTATGTACAAAAAAAAAATAAAAAGTCAAGAATCATAAAATTATATTCAAATATTCATTGAGATCTATTAAACTGTTTTAACCTTGTAGACACAGAAAATATATACAATAATTACAAAGAGAAATTCAAATTAAGTTGAAGAATTTTAAGTGATAAGAGATGCTGCAAACTAATTTAAAAAATCCTATTTTTATTGTATTTATAAAATGTTTAAATTTAATTTTTATCAATAAAATATATGTCAGATGTTTTTATACAATCTAATGATATAATGATCTAAAGAATAGCCAATTGCTTTTTTAATAGTTATTTTCTCTGGAATGATATCATAAAAACATAATTCAATCACAAATCAAATAAAGAGATTCACATGCTCTGAAAAATTATTAAAAGCAACAACATTTAACTAATACAAAATAGAAGACAAACTTTGTCTCAACAGCAAAAAGCGTATAAATCAATTATTTTTCTCAAATTAGTTATTTTGGGAATTGTATAAGCATAACATTTTAATAAAAAAAACTTGCAAGAATAGAAAACCTGTTGACATAACAGATTTATGAAAACAATTTTAATCAAGAAACAAAAAGTATATGTATATATTTTCAAATTGAAAAGAGGAGATTGATCAAGAAAAATAATTTGTTTTTCATTCTACTGTACACATTTGTTACATTTAACAAATAATATTGCAAATCTACACATACAAAACAAAAATTTGGGCTTTCATCAACTCAAATGTGCACTTTGTGGTAAAAAGTAAACCAGACAGGTATGCATGTCAAAAAAGAAAAATTAAAATATACATTCTACTGATATCTCAAAAAGTGTCTTATGATTTTTAAATATTTTAAATTTTAATAAAACATATATGTGAAATATTTGATGAAGAATGAAAATGCAATCAGAATCATTGCCAAAGTTACAAAGTATAATTTCGAGTGACATGCTCAATGTAAGTGACAAATTACCAAGGGAGATAATCTTTTAAAGCGTTAGTTTTACCAATAAGAATCAACATTTTATAGCATTGTTCTCGTGTAAATGGCCATAAAAACAATTTTAATCCTCATTCAGATTCTTTTGGTAAATGTGAAGATTTTTATTGACAAAAAAAAACAAAAACAAAACGAATATTTAGAATACACTACAAATTTCATATATTTTACAAACAATGCGTTTTCTAAATATTATTAAAACAATTTAATAAAATAACTCAGAAAATATAGGTATTTTCTTTTAGCTAAAATATTCTCTAAATATAAAATATAAAATCTTATTAGAATTGAATGATAATTATAGTGACATGGTTAAAACAAAAATTCCATGTTGATCTTAAATATTTATTTGAAAGAGATATATAGAAAATATGTACGATACAAAACTTACTTTGTCAGCGTACTCAGAAGCTACTCTCTGTATTTCATCAGATTGCATACTGACCATGGATCCAACCACACTGGCACTTATCTTGCCCTACATGCAAACACAAATTTACGATCAGTGACTAGAGCCCTTGGAAAAAGAAGAAGCCAAAGGGTGAGATATATTCCCTTGCACTTCACTTTAGCCAAGCGTAGTATGATCAGAGTGACAAGAGGAAAAATGAAAACTATATATATATATCAGTAGAAAGCAAAGAAAACAATCAGAAGACACAATCATGCAAAAAATAAATACAAAAAGATGTGACAATGTTAAAATATAATTTTCATGATGCCAAAAATGTATGTAAACACTTAATAAAATGAAAACAAATTAAATAATTGAATGTTGCAGTTTCAATAAAGAAAAATAACTTTAAGAAATTGATTTTCATTTTTAACCATTATCAGTACTATGCACTTTTGAGCCCTGTTGCAGCTTGTAAAATAATATCCACTGTAAGAATGAATGCATACATTATTATAAAACAAAGATCCAGACCTGAACAATAAATTCAAGGAAGATAAAATTCAAATATACCATCAATTTTATTTTTCTTGGACTTTTACTTCAAATCTTGATTTTTTTCTTCTTTTTTCATAAAAAAATAAATAAATCTAGTCCTTCCAAAACTTATTTAAAATGTTTGGTTTAGAAAAAAGTGTCAATAAATTACAAACACATCTTGCAAATAACTAACAATTCCTCACATTTTTAAGTAGAATCAGTTAGTCATAAATAAGTTTTGAGTTTAAAACCATATCATAACTGATGCTTATTATATTAAATGTCAATTGCTGAATTTTAAAAATATTAATAAAAAGTATTAAAAAATAAATAAATACCTATTCAGAAATCATTACATATAACCTATGTGGACATAATCACTAAATTATGTAATGACTTCTTGATGCAATTATTAATGTGAATAATTGTTTTTTTTTTGTTTTTTTAAGCTTCAAACATAATATAAAAATTTTTGTGTTTTAATCAAAATATTTTTTTCTTTTTCCTAATTTTTGATTTATTTAACAAATGTTAAATATGTTTTGAAAGAATCAAATTTCATTTCTGGAAACAAAGGGAGGTAAGGCTGCACTGTCTTTATTTTCATACAAATGATAAAAAAAAATAAGAAAAATAGTTGATGTTAAGATATTTGTCGATCATTTCATAGTAAAATGAGCATAAAAAGTTTAACCATAAAACAAAATATTAAGCCATGAATACCATTAATATGGACAGCTTCTAAAATTTATAATATTATATATATATATATATATATAAAACACATAAATATATTAAAATAAGAAAGAACAGTAAGATTTATAATCTGGTGTTCTTAGCAATTATTTTTTATTTTTTAAAAAAACAATGCTTGATGCAAACAGTAGCACATAATATTATAATTATTTTCTTTTTTTAAAAATATGATTCCATCATGACACAGAAATTTCTGTTTCAAAACTGAAACTAAAATTGTAAATTTAATTACAAAAATTAAACTTAAAATCCAGAGTTTCATTCCGTTGTCAAGCAATGCTAGGAATAACTTTATAAGAAATTAACTTGATTTATAAGACAGACAATCTAAATACTTTGAGTTGTTAAGGTTAAGGAAAATTCAATCTATTTTGATTAGGCGTGGTTGGATTTTAATTTCCCTAGACAACTCATGTATCAAATATATGTTATTTACAAAGTCAGGTTAAATTTAGGTGGGGTGGTGGTGCCTGCTCACAAATATAGACATCTGTTGTTCAGCGTGTCATCTGAATATACACTCCTGGTCAAAATCTTAAAACTGGATACAAAAGAGTTAAAAAAATATAAAATACTGTTACTTTAATCAAAATATATTTGCAAAACATTTACATTTAATTAGAAAATGTAGTTTATCAATAAACAAGTGAAAATTTTAAGTTTTTAATTGATTACTTTAAACAAACATTGAAAAAGTATTTTTCAATGTTTGTTTAGACAGAATTATGACAGTAAGTCTACTAGAAAGAATTGTGGTTTTATAGCTTATGTTTTAGTTATTTTTAGTAATACAATCTCCTATTGGACAAGTAAACAACACCGATTTTATAAAGAGCATTTGATTTTAATAACGTTTTATTAGTGACTACTATGAGTTTTTTCTTTTTATAATAAATATTTGTTCTAGCTGTGGGCTTTTTTGCATCTATGGATAATATTATTTTATAGTTATTTCATCTTGTTTGTAATTTAAGTGTACTTGATTACAATAAAATAAATATTAAATGCTAATAGAGCCTAATAATTAGCCACATTAAATACAGAAAGCTTATTCACAAGTGTCCCTATTAATGACATCATCATAATGTTTACAACCATTAATTGCTTCTGAACCATTACAATAAAAAAATGGAGTAGACAAATTCTGTTTTATGATCTAAATGGTAACATTTATACAGACAGTGGATGGTGGTATGGTTAGCTCTTTCAATCTTTCTTTTTCATACTCTTATATAACATAAAAATAAAATAACTAAACCAGCGATCTGTCAGATACACTGACAATATTAGTTATTAGTTATTTCTAAAAAAAATGATTGGTATAAAAAAAAATGTCAGTACTCTAAAGAAGTGACCACCTATTTTCAATTTAAATTGAATTTTTTACCCATTGTGTTAGTCAACCAATAAAGAGAGAATAAATCAAAGCCATTTAGATATTGCTACTATCTGCCAGTAATCCTAAAATCCATATAAAGAGAATTCAACTAACTTTATGAATCCAAATTAAGGGCACTTTATAGTCCTTCTCCAATTATACACAATCATTTCTTCAAAAAACTATGCAAAATAGAAACAGGAATTTTATTTAATTTTTTTTTAAATGCCATATCTCTTTAGGACACAGACAATCATAGCATTCCCCATTTTCCTTTATTATTTGTGACTTACAATGTCTACTTAGGAAAGAGCAGTTTTCTGTTGCCTTAGTTTTAAATTTATAATATGAGAGTCCAAACTATCCTGCTATTTAATCCATAGCTAGAGGGAGAAAAGATAGATTGCTGCCTTTTCCAAGGGAGTTTGTGCAAAATTGAATTCAACAGGCAAAGTAAGAATGCTAACTCAGCTCGACTATCTCACTTGTCTCTACATTACAACCCATGCCTCCAGCATTACATAGACCAATTATTAAAACTTTTTGTATTAAGGTAGAACTTGCAACAAACATGTTTGTACAAAATAGAGGTTTTTATGAGTTTTTTTATGAGTTTGAAATTAAAGAAAGGCTTTAAGCTTACCCTGTATATTAGGCATCATAAAATTAATACAATACAGATTACTTTGTGATTATTTTAAAGATTATTATTTAGCCTTTACCATTTACAAGTTAAGCCATGTTGAGTTTTGTCATTACCTATGACCACTTGGAAATAGCAGGTACTGTAAGCACTTGGATGTGTGGGTGGTGTAATGAGAAATCTGAGACACAAGTTTAAATTCCAGTCAGAATCGTTACATTCACTTATGCAATCTTTCTCCCACTAGCTATGGACTAAATAGCAGGACAGACTGGATCCTATAGCCTTGGTTGGCAACCAGTCTACTGCAGAAAATTTCAGCTTACTGTAGGAATTCTTCTACCAAGTCAATCATGAATCAAACAAAGACATATTGCTCGAGCATGCATCATGCATGGCACTTAAGGAAGGACCATTTATAATTCTTGGCTATTTTATTATTATTATTATTATTATTATACATAAATTATATTTACTACAATTGCATTTAACTCATTAATGCTCTCCATAACAACTGGTATTAATTATAAAAATAAAAATCAGATATTAAGTAAAAGTTTCCAACAAAAATCTGGCATTATAGATTTATAAAAATTATGGTTTTAGATATCGGCTTATAAATCCTATAATCCATCAATGCTTACCAGCTCCAAAAAATGGGACACTGAGCCTTAATGGGTTAACTAAAAATTTATCATTGAACTTGAAATTTCCAAATTTATATATCAGATTATAGACATATATGAGGAAACTTTCAAAATCTCAAGGTAATTTTAAAGATTATTATTTTGCCCTTACCAATTATAATTTTGGCTACTTTATTATTATTCTAAGATTATATTAGCAGACTTGCATTTAACTAAACATTTCTCATTGAAAGGCCCAAATTTGTATATCAGATTATACTTATATCCTATAGAAATTGTTTCAAAATTCCAATGTAATTTTGTATATCAATGCTAGTGTATACAGTATTGGGTAGGGGAGATATCAATTACAGCAATTAGTAAATTAAACCAAATAATACAAGGAAAAAAAGTCTTCATTATATAAATTAAAGTTATGTGGCTATCATAATGCAGCCTGCTGATCAGTTTGAAGCTCCAATGTCACAGAAAACAGGACAAAGAAAAATAATCACCCAAAAAGAATGGAAACATTAGCATAGCAACATCTCATGCATAAAACTATCAACTGCACATGCAAGTTGTGATAACCAGACTTGTTTGAATGTGAAAAAGATCAGCAAGAAAAGACAACAGAGGCAAACAATAGCAAAAAGCAAGCAGAGTTGATAAATTGCCAGATGGAACTAACAATAAGTCCCGTGAAGAGAATTATGATGTGAAGAGATTGCTGTGTGAATAATAAAAGATAGTATTGGCAGATACTGAAGATTTGTCAAAATGTAAACTTCTTTGAAAGCTTGAAGTTCTAAGTTGAATTACATTATTATATACATAGAACATGTATTTTACTGGGTTTAATTTCCTAACTTGAATTCTTCATAATCTATGTTTAATAATTAAAATTCTTTGCAATATGATTTGAAAAAAAAAATTATACACTAATTTCTTTTGATTAGCATTGTCATCTTGGCTGTTCTCAATGTTTCAGCAGAAAAAGGTATTTGTTTAGATTTTTTCCATACGATAATATCATAGGAAAGATTTAGTTTGATAGAAAAGTAAAATGATAACGGAATTAGGAAGAAGAATTATAGACAAACTTATGTTAGGCAAAAGAAGTTTTTTTTTTTAATTAGTGTGTTGAATAGACCAGGTTAGTAAATTAATACTGTTATCATTTTCACTTCATCTTATGAGAATAAGGAGCTGATTTATTTAAGATTTTAAAATTTGGTACCTATAATACTGTTTAATCTTTTGAAGTAGACTTTATCCAGGTTAGAACATCAGGAAAGTGAGTGTAGTTTGTCTAAAGATACCAAAACTCTTGGGATTCAAATAATATATATAACCTTAAAGGTTACAATGAAATTGACAATTTCAAAATGATCATTAAATTATTTAATTACTGTTTAGTAGCCCTTTAAACATTCTTCTTTTATAATGCCATAGCCTTTCAGGATGTGAGCTATCATGGCTTTCCACAGCTTCCAATCTTTTGTTGCTCTAAGTAACTCTTGCTCCTTTACCATCTTTCTTTGTCGTTGTTCTACCATCCATTCACTCAAACTTGTTAAATAGGTTACTTGTTTCCATTTTGATTCTTTCCCCTTCAATATGTCCTTTGTGTCCAAACGTTCTTTCCTTATTATGTAACCCAAAAAGTTCAACAGTTTTTTGTAGTTCCTATCTTCCTTAAAACTTCCTCATTGTTCACATGTTCTGTCCATAGTATTCTCAACATTCATCTGTGAAACATTAATTAGTCTTTTCAACATCTTTGAGAAGAATGTTTAACATTCTCAAATATATAAAAGATTAGATATTACACAGCAGTTCAGCACATTTCTTTGTTTTTTATCGACATACCTTTTTTATGTCTTAATACTTTTATTTTCTGAAAAGCTCTTTTGCTGTTCTTATGCACCTTTAAATTTCTGTGCCACACTTTATCTTGCTTGTAATACCCAGAAAGTTAACTTTCTGCACCAGCTCAATTCTGACATCCCCAATATATAGTTCACAAATGGGGCTGCCTCTTTTACTGACAACCATGCATTTTAACTTTTTGCAATTAATGCTTAATGATTCTTTCTTGCTTTCCTTTATTATAACTGTCAAACAGTTCTTTCAGTTTTCTTTTGGAGTCTGTCATCAACACAATGTCATTGTGTTTCATATGTTAAGACTATAACTGCCAAAAATTTTGCTAGGTCTTCTAGTTCTCTTAAGATCATCTCACTGTACATCTTAAATAAATCTGGTGAGAAAACACATCCTTGTAATCTTCTTTCTATTTTTGTTTATTCACTAATCTTGTTCTCTGTCTACATGAAAACTATTTGTTCTGACTAAAGGTTATGGGCTACTCAATTATCTTTCCCATGTAAATCAAGATTTTCTGATATTTCAAGTAGTCCTTCATTAGCTTGTTTTGTTTTTTTACTGTTCATACTTGTAATAATCAACTTTATATGGGGCTTAATTTTCAAATCTACATTTTAAGTAAGTTGCTGTAAAACAGTTGTTCATTTCAAGTGAAATAATGATCTAATATTTGCAATTTTTCTATAAGAAGTCAGCTGAAAACTATATAATAAAGGCAGCTTGTTATGTAAAGAGATGAGAAAATGTATGTTAATAAAATATCAGTATTATCAACTTGATGAATTAGAAAAAGATATAATGAAACTAGAGTTAATTGAAAAATAAATTCTGGAAACATGAAAAGAGAACACCAAACACAATATTTAAAAATGATTAGTTAAAAATTGCAAACCCCAGGTTTCACTGATGCATAGGTTTTAAGTCCCTGAAATAGAAAAGTCAATGGTTTCAAAAAAATTGCAATTCAACAAGTATTTTAAATTAAATAAAATCATTGAAATTATTCGCACATCTCTGAAACCAAATCTGAATATTTCGTTCCAGAATAAAGAATAATTCATAGAAAGAAAATTATTCTAATTAGATATTTTTAGAACTTACTGATTGCAAGAATTGCTTACTAGAATTTAGTTAATTTAAAATGAAGGCTAATATAAACACTTATATGTGCTTCCATAAAATATTACAGAATATTAAAAACTAGCTATTCCACGTTATAGCTTGCTAATTCTAAAGTACATTACCAAAATATTTTGAGAGATAAATCTTTATTCTTCAGCAAGATTATGTGGGTGTTGGTTAGCAAATAATAGAGTTTATCTATATGGTGCGATGGGTAAATTGTCGCCATTTTATATTTTAATTTTGTGCATATGCATTGTTTGTTTTTCTTGACTACCTAGTACAGTAGGGTCAGTTGGGAACCATTTGTGAGAAAAAGAGCATCATAATGCAATTTACTGTCAAAAAATTGCATATCGCATGCTGTACTGCTTGGCATTTGTGCCAGAAGCTCCAATACAAACATTTCAGAGTGTTTGGGTGTCAATCTGAGGACAGTGCAGAGGATTTGGAAAATGTTGGATGAATCTAATAGTGATTACAAAGGTGTTTGAAGTGATCACTAGTGATGGTTATGTTATGCCTCTATTCATCTTCCCACATGGCCGCAGACTCAACATGGAGGCTAACATCAAGTGCCTTGAGGAGGTAGTGCTGTCCTAAGGGGCTACTGAAAGACCCTATGCCTCACAACAGGAATCTGCACCATGCCACACAAGCAGGAGAACCCAGTCATGGATGTCAGACAATTTTTGTGACCACATCACTCCTTACATCTGGCCACCTAACTCCCCAAACTGCAACCCTCTTGATTATTATGTGTGGGGCACAGCTGAGAGAGAGACAAACAAAAATCCTTGTAACACTGAAGATGAACAGAAGGCAAGGATTATGGCAGCATTCACCAACTTAAACAAGGAGACTGTCCAGAAAAGCTGCAGGAGATTCCAAAGTCAGCTGGAGGCTGAAGCCAATGGTGGCTTTATTGAATAAATTTACTCTTTAGTATTTCAAGATATTTTTGTGTAATTTTGGTAAATATATCTGTTAAAATGAGATGTCAATATTATTTTCATTTTTACATAATTTAGACGACAATTTATCCATCGCACCCTGTACTTATCTGAATTACATTGTGAACTTAAAGATAAATATACAGTCAATTATAGATATTTATAATTCTACAGATAATAGAAAAGCCAAAAATGAATTGACAAAGAAAAATACATTTTGATGAGTAGTCAAATTATAAAGGATACTGAAAACAAAAGAAAACTCCATATATAGGTTTATACATTTAATGACAATATTTAAAAATAATTGTGTATATGTTTACTAGGTATAATCCATTGCAACAGTTTTAGTGTCACTGAAGATCATTTTGAAGTTATATTTATTCAACTTTTACAATGTAATAATGTTTTCTTGAGGGTTAAATAATTACTTACATGAATAAAGAACTTACCGTACATTATAAAAAACAATGTAAGAAATATTAATGGATGTAATATAATTTTGTAAAAAAAATCTATCTTCTCACCTCGCTGGTAGACATTGCAGACATCTCCTTCATCAACATGTCCATTTTCCTCTGAAATTAAGAAAAAAAGCTATGAATAAAGAAACAAAATCATCAGTTACAAAGCAAGAAATGATGTAAGTGACTCCAAAAGACATACAGATATGAATTCTTTTAGCTTATTTTGACACTGCTTTAAAATTGTTCACTGATCAAGATTTTTTGCCCTCTTTTTACACCTGCTTTAAAGATATTGATATATTTGCAGTGGTGTAAGATGTTCTGCAATATTTTTTTCCCTTCAAATACTCATTTGCTAAATTTATCATAAATCAGACATTTTTTGTTTGTTAATTTGCAATTATTTAAATTAACTTTCATTGCAAGCAACTGGTACTATTGACATAAGATGCTCAATTCATTGCAATTTGTTGAATTTGCATTAAAACAAGTTTGTGCTTTCTGAATATTTGATGACCATGCTTCAAAATACCACAAATTGTGACTCTCTGTCATATCAAAAGCATACATATTAGATGTGTAATGCAGAGAAAGTAGACAGATGTAGTTAAATTCAGGCATATGTGATATTATACTTGGACAAAATATATAGTTGAAAAAGTCAATTAAAACACAAATTTAACTTTAGCCTATATCAGAGATGGCCAACCTTTATAGTTACTTGGTCATTTTTGGTACTTTAAAATTTTTCATAAACATAAATGGGTCACTCATATATACTTAATATATTTTAATAAGAGACTTGTTGCTGTATCTTAGTTGCTAATGTTTTAATTTGAGGTAAACATAAAGAAACTATTATAAATGAATTCAAAATAGTTACAAATTTTAAATTATCTGAGCAGACAATAAAATTAGATGAGACTATGACCAATGCAAAAAGAGACAAAACATTCCTACATAATTGTAAAAAGCTTATAAAACTGGCTGAGTATCAGCTAGATATGTTTAGGTAAGCACAAGGCACAAACAAAACTTGGAAACTTGCTAAATTTGATTGGCTGAGCAATATTTCATGACATCATTTCACTGACTTTTCATGGGTTATTAAATAGTTGATTGATTTGTTTGTTTATCAGCATATCAACTCCTTATGGGTCATTTAATACTGAAATTTAATTTTGGGGGGAGCTTTGAAGTAGTAAAAATATAATGTTATTCTGCTTTCACAATTGAATACATGGTAGATGATACTCAGCTTTTGTGGATATACATGTTTGTGTGGACATAACTACTAGAAGCAGTGATGTGTGTGTTTTATGTTGTAGTTTTGCTGAAGTTATATTTTGGAATACAGTTTGATTTCTTTAAGAAATTGTAAGATATTATATGGATTAATGTCATGAAAGAGTTCATGTTGGTTGTTTGATAGTATTTTAAACGGATTTGGCTGAAGTCCCTACAGTTTGTTAGTATATGTTTCATTGTGTATAGTTCTTGGCATGTCATACAAATTGGAGGTGGGTCTTGTTTCCAAATTCAAGAATGTGTTATTGTGGAGTATCTGATATGGTTGAAAAGTTGATGGTGGGTCAGTTCATGATCCATGGCTTAGTGTTTCACTATCTCTGACCTATATTCTGGTGTCAATTTAAACTGACACCTCCCCAACCCAATATATTTTGACCATTTTCTTTAAATTGCATTTTTTTTGTTTTTTATTTCAGATGAAAACTTTTCCTACATATTTCAATAAAATTTTCACTTTCCAAAATCATAGTTTATAATTATAGTTTAAATATATATGAAAAAGGTGTTAATTTAAACTGATACCAAGAGAATATATGCTAACTAGATATGTACATTACATCATGTATAAAGTAATCTACTAGTGTATTCAAGTATCTTTCCAAGTTTTCTTTTACATAAGTAGGTAACTGTTAAATTTTAGGCATTGTCACATATTAGGGAAGAAATTTGTACAGCTATTACTTTCAATATAGAAAACAATCCCTTACTTCTTCTTCTAGACGTTGCTCTTCTTCTGTGGCAGAACTGTCAACTTCATTAGAACTTAGTGGCTTCTTATCAATTTCTGCCTGCAAAAAGAACATTAAATAAATCAGTTAACTTTTTCTTATCAATGTTAAAGATATTGGCTTTGATACATTTTAATTAATATTTAATCATGATCAAACCTAGATTTAACTGATATGTAATCTTTAAACAGTCAAACCTTTTATATAAAAAAGACACAAAACTTCATACAATAATTTAGATTAAGAATCTTATATATAGTAACATGGATTAAAAAAGTGTTTGAAAACAGATTTTATAGATTATTACCAATAAAAGATTGAGATAAGAAGTTTATCAAGATGTACACTAATAGTTATGTTTTTATAAGTGTTGTGTAGGAACCTACCACCCCTCTTGAAGATGAACTTGTCTAAAAACAAGGACGTAAAATAGTGGCATGTCAAAAGAGAGGGTCGGAGAAGTTCTTGGGCTGAGTTAGTTATAGACTACTCAGGCGATTTCTGTACCAACTTACCAACCGAATAAACCCCATTTTATTGTTATATGTTATTTGGCGTTTGTCTTTATTAACCCCAAATTAACATCATAACAGTGGCGACGAGAGATTCATTCATCACACTGAGGAGAATTTTTCAACTCTAGGTGGACTATATAATTTTTTTTTTTTCTCGCACTGAAAGAAAGAAAAAAAAAACAACGTCGAACTTTGTTCTTCAAGAAGAAATAGGATTTCAACGTGCCAAAAAAAGAAGTAAGACTTGTGCTTATTGTTGGATATATATGGGTTTTTCCCTTTTTTTGACTGTTTTTGAAAAGTGTTTTGTGTAATCTATTACGCATAATGGAAGATTTGATTGCATTAACGAAAACTCTAGTGCAAAACCAAATTCAGCAACAAGAGCAACAAAAATTGTTTCGGGAACAACTATTGGATTTACAAGTTCAGCAGCGAAATGACACAAAGGCTTTATTTGAAGCAATGTTACTAAAGAATCCAGTAAATTCGTCATTCACGGCCGAAGGTATTGCTAATTCTATTACCGAGTTCAAATTTAACCCAGAGGAGGGTATAACATTTCCTGCATATTTCAGAAGATTTGAAACAATATTTGAAAAAAAATGTGAAGGTTGGACTGATGAACAAAAAGTGAGTTTACTTTTACAAAAGTTGGGTACAGATGAAAATAATAAGTATACGAATTTTGTCCTTCCAAGAAAAACTAGTGACATTTCTTTCGAAGAAACTGTTAATACTTTATCTAGTATTTTTTGGCGAAAGCGAGTTAGTTTGTTTCATACTCGTTTCTTGTGTTTGAATATGGTAAAAAGCGTGACGATGAGGATGTTGTTACGTATGCTGGAAATGTTAACAGAATGTGTGAACGTTTTATGTTACATGATCTTTCAATTGATCGATTTAAATGTTTGATATTCGTTCAAGGCTTGACTTCTAGCAAAGATAAGGACATAAGGTCCCGAATATTGGCAAAACTCGAACAAAATTCTGAGATTACTTTGCAGAAGGTTACGGAAGAATGTCAAAGAATTGAAAACTTAAAACATGATAATACGCAAATTGAAGAAAAAGACATATCCCGTGTCCATGCTATTCGACCAAAAACGGGAATAGTTAATAAAAACGTTAAAAAACCAACGTGCTTTGGATGCGGTGGTGGTCATTTTAAAAGTGAATGCTTTTTTAAGCGACAAAAATTGCTATTCGTGTGGCAATAAAGGCCATATAAGTACTCATTGTAAAAAGCAAAAGAAAAAAAATTAAGTGAAAAAAAAGATATTGTGAATATTGTGTTGTCACGTCAGGAGATTGAGGAGGGCAGAAAAGAAAATTCGTACAAGTAAAAATTAATGGAAAAAATGTTAAACTACAGCTAGATACTGGAAGTGATATTTCCATTATTAATACAGCAACATGGATTAAAATAGGCATACCTTTGCTTAAAAAGACTGAAAAAGTGGCTCGCGGGATTTCTGGAAGAAAATTGCATTTTCAAGGTGAATTTTCTTGTAATATTTCATTTGTTGGTAAGACACTAAAGTCTAAAGTGTATGTGCTACAAAATGCTTCAAATGTGTTTGGAACAGATTGGATTATACTGTTTAATTTATGGGAACTCCCTATAAATTCTTTTTGCAATAGAGTTAATGTTTCTTCTCCGTGTAAAAATCGGGTTACAGAAAATTTGAAAGATCTGAAAATAAAATTTCCACAAGTATTTTCAGAAGGTCTGGGATGTTGCAAAAAGGCGAAGGCAAAATTTGAAGTGAAGGAAAATGTAAAACCTATTTTCAAGCGAAAAAGAAATGTGCCATTTGGTGTTGTGGAACAGATAGATTAACAAAGAATGGAAACGGCTTGAAAATTTAGGAGTTATTTCACGCATTGAATTTTCAGAGTGGGCCTGCCCTGTTGTATATGTTAAGAAAAAAAATAATAAAATTCGGATGTGCTGATTTTTCTACGGGTCTAAATGATTGCTTAAAAGACCACACATATCCTTTGCCTTTCACCAGAAGACATTTTTGCAAGTTTAAGTGGAGGAAAAATATTCGCTAAATTGGATTTATCGGATGCCTTTCTCCAAGTCAAAAATGGACGCACAAAAGACATTTGAACCAATTAAGGAAAAGAATCATCGAAGAAATAAGTGAAGAAAAGGAAGAACCAATGGAGGTATTATATGATTTATTTGATATACTGACTCCACCATTGCCTGAAACAGTTGTTCAAAGAAGGACAAGCAAAAGAAAAAGAACGAGGGTGGAACGTTTAAGTCCAGATCCCAAAAGAAAAAAATATTAATTTCTCCGGAATTAATCTCAAGGGGGAGGTGTTGTGTAGGAACCTACCACCCCTCTTGAAGATGAACTCGTCTAAAAACAAGGACGTAAAATAGTGGCATGTCAAAAGAGAGGGTCGGAGAAGTTCTTGGGCTGAGTTAGTTATAGACTACTCAGGCGATTTCTGTACCAACTTACCAACCGAATGAACCCCATTTTATTGTTACATGTTATTTGGCGTTTGTCTTTATTAACCCCAAATTAACATCATAACAATAAGTTACCATTAGAAATCGCTATATAAGATTATTCATGCTTTATTTTAGGAAATAAAGTTATATTATTAAACTATAAAGAATGATGCTGGTGTACATATTTGGCACTGGCTATTCCCCCATCCCCTCTATAATGTCAATTCATCTTAGGTGCTACAACAGGTTAGTTAATTTTAGATAAGCTTTTCTATTTTAATAAGGTAAAAGTATTAATTTAAAATTTCCAAGACACATAGTTTATATTACAGGTTGTTGTCAACTTACAACCATTATTGATTATGACTGACTGGTCATAAGTCGATCTGTAATTAATTTTGTAATCTTTCATTTGGCATTATTATATTTATCATTTTTATAGTTTCTTTACATTTAATACCATTTGTATCATCTCTCTACACATTGTTTTTGTTTTTTTATTTTAAGTTCATAGAGTTTAAGTCAAACACTACATATTAGAATACAGTTGGTTTAATATTTGCTAAACATACAAAAAAACAAATTACAGGTGTAGAAAATTGAAAACATTTTAGTTGGATAACATACCAAAATACATATAAATATAAAAACATCTTATTAGCAATGGAATGCTAGTGCTGCTGGGAGCTGGGAGCTGGGAAACACTCATGCTGCCAGATACAGAAAAGTCATGGCCAGAGATACCAATTCACAGTTGTGAAGTCAAACAGTTGAAAGTCACATAGGTCGTAAGTTGATGATGACCTGTATATTGTTTGTAGTCAGTATTTATTATTCCTGATTTAAACCAGAATTCTATTTTGAAGCATAATATTTTTATGCAGAAATTTTAGCATAACCCATTTTCTTGACATTTTTTTTAAATCATTTTTTTTGCATGTAAAATGGTAGAAAACAACAAATTTGTAAAATAGGAACCAAAAAAAATCACTGTCTTTGTAGATCATCTTGTGTAAAGTTGAGAAATAGTTTAGGTAGTTTGGTTTTATAACATGACAATCCTTGTTGGGTTTTTTTAATATCAAATTGTGTATGGGACACAGCTAGGTGGAAATGGTTAATCAGACTAGCTTCACTAACCATTACTCCATTGAGAAACAGTAAAAAAAAAATAATAATAAAATAACATTGTCCAAAGTTGCAACAAACTAGACAATATCAATGGCATCTTACCTCATCAACTTTAGGACTAACTCCATAATTCCTAAAATAAAACAAATTATTAAATACTTTATATTCATGACTTGCAAGCATATAAAAGTATAGTTCTATAGAATTCGAAGTTATTCAAGATTTTAATTAAATGAGTTGATGGTTAAATATCTCATATTGCATTAAAAATATTTTTATAGTGATTTTTATCATATAAATATACAGACCAAGATCTACATTAATTGACCTTAAAGGTCTTCATGAAAACCAGAGGACACAATGGCCAAAATGTGATAGCAATAAAGATGAGGACAATAGTCTATATAAATAATGTAAATTACAATGATTTTTTTTTTGTGACAATAATGCTATAAATGTTTGATGTATAACAGCAGTAAAGTGAACTGAGAAGTGGCACATACTTGGAAAATTTGAAAAATTTTTTTTTCATAAAGGTATAAAAGGGCCTCTTTCAACTTGGAAAAAAATCACCAAATATTAAGTATTACATATGATAAGGAGGTAATAATATGCTTCGGGAAATCTTACAATTTTTATTTGATTATAGAAAGATTCAATATAGTCTATAAATTTCTAGAAACTAAAAATCTTTATATATTCAACAATTTAATATTTTTTGCAACATGTTAAACAAGTTAGACAAATAGTTTCAGAAAAGAAAAAAATCAGTATAATTTCAGTATTCTTTATAAAAATGAAAAGTATTTTTAATTCTTGTTCATTCATATTAGGATAACTTACAGCTGAAAATATCTTTTTTTTCAATTGAAAGGAAACTTACCAGCCAAATTCAAGAAGAGTAGATATCACTCTTGTTTCTTCATCTTTTAATTTATCTGCATCACGGCGTCGATAGCGTCGTTGAGGGTGATAAACATTCTAAAAAGTAAAGTTTAAAAATACCTTAAAGTCATTTCCAGAAAATACTGACATATATAAGGAATATATAAAAATAAAGTGTGTGTGTAGACATTTATATATATTGTAGATATATATAAATAGATATAATTGTATAAATATTAAAAATGAAAATGAATTTACCTCCCTTAGTTTAAAAAAAAAAAAACATGTCTATATTTTCTGAGATGAGGTATTCTAACTATTTACATTGTTGTCCTCATCTTTACTGTCATATTCACTTTTTGGCTGTTGTACACTCTGGCCTTTTGATATCTGTTGGAATTTCAAAGCAAACCCTTTATTTAATCCACAGGAGTAGATTGTTCTAATTCCATATACCATGCCTTTGGATACCCCAGTTTTAGTTAATTCGTTTTAGTTAAATCTCCTGCTGAGGCCAGGAATTGAATTCACAACTCTTTGGGTCAAGTCACTTTTTGGATCACCCAACCAACACTAGGCCATGTGAATTGACCATTATAGTAGCCATACCATTTGTCAAAAGTCACCAGAATGCTCCTCAAACTAACTTTGGGCAACTTAGGCCTGATGACATGGTGCATTATTCTGTTGGAATAACCTATCATGTGGTTTATGGAATCTATGAATGGTTGCAAAGTAGTGCAATGTAGCAGTGTTATAACTCACTCCTAGCGGTTATAATGTTATGTTTTACTTAGACTACTCACCACATCGTCATTAAAATTCTTCCCAACTGACTCCAACTAACTTTCCCTGACACACTTTCAGTTCTTTATTTAAGGTGTTTTGCCTAGTTCATTTTTGCTACTGGGGGTGTCTTATTTACTCCACAACATCTCCCACCTTTTGAATTTTTTTTTTCCACTAGAAAATATTTTATTTCTTAGTATTCACCCTCTCTTCTTTCTGAGTGAGTTCGCCACGTACTGAACATTATATTTTTTTCATTTTGGGTCAACCTCTAGTTTTTCCATACATTTCCTTTTTCTGGTAATCATCCTTGTACATTCAATGAACTCCTGGGGTGATGGCATGTGTTTGAAACAGCGACCCAACTCATCTGACAAAACATCTAGAAAATAATTTTTCAATTCTTCCTTTAAATTTTAAATTTTTTTAAATTGGTTGCTTGTCCACTTACATTTTTGCAATAAATATTTATAGGTAAATCCCACAACTCAAATAATTCCATCCTGTCAGTACTGAATAAGTTTGTAGAATTTTTTAACACATATGCCTTAGCTTTTACACACTTGTTATGAAATGTTACAAGTCATTTCACCAATAAAAATGTAATTTCTTACCTAATGCTGTGTATGAAATTTTTTCTGTGAAAACTTTTCCTTGCTTTAGTTTTACAGTGTAACATTTTATGTTCTACTTTTCCACACTTGTAGCACTTTGACTGCTTAAAGAGATAGTTGTTTCTGAGATGTAACCTTCCACATCTGAAACATGGATTAATTTTTCTTTTTCCATAGCTTGTATGTATGTGCATTCTTTTTTTCAATTTCTTCTGTATTGCTTCTCAGATTTAGGATTCTCTGATATTTGTCAGATATTTCTTGTAGTGTTAGTTTTTGATTCTGTTCAAGTTTTGTTCGAATTCTAGCACATGTTTATGTCTTTTTTTGCTGTTAATCCTTGAATGAAAATTAACCCTTGAAAAATATTCATTTAATTTGAATCCTTCATACCACTTGTTAATTTCAGCATATGTGACAAAATCTTCAGCTTTTTTTTTTTGTCCGTTTCATACACTACCAATGAGTATTGAATAATGAACTTTTCACACTAAAAATTTCAGTAAGAATATTTACTGTTACTTCAAAGCAAATTTCTCTGTTTTTTTTTTTTTTTTGGTAGTACAAAATTACAGTATTTTTCATGTTCTACCAGTACTTTCTCAATAAAAGTCTTGTTTTTTTTTTATTGTCATCCCAGTCACTGCATTTTTCTCTGAAAATTTGTTTGTACCTTCTAAAATAAGCAGGAAAGTTAATTCCATCATCCGAATTCTATGTAAATTCAATTATTGCATTTACCATCACTTCAGGAGTGAAAGAACTTGAGGAATTTTCTGTTTTCTTTCATATTATTTCAATTAAATTTTATTGTTGATTCTGGAGGTTTTTGGGCTCTTGAATATGGATGTGGTTTAAGCCAGTGTTGCTTGTCTATTACCACAGATAATTCTAGCCAGATGCTTCAGGTAATGACCATTAAAGAACTATTATTGGCTGCTGCACTGTTCATGATGGGTAGTAATCTCTTCTATCAGGTATTTCCAATACACATGTGACACTGTAGATTAGGGGGATGTCAAATGTTCCCATAATTTCAGAAATGGAATGTCCTGCCTGACACTCACTATCATGCCTCATTCTAACTGACAATTTATGTTGCTTTGCCATGAACAGCCATTTCACACTGACTCAACAGATGTCAGAGCACAACTGATATGTCTGGGCATTTCCATGACATCAAGTTAAGGTGATGATACCTAATACCTTTACATACTGATACCCCATGACTTTTGGCCCGTGTTTGTGTGTGTGTGTGTGTGTGTGTGTGTGTGTATATACTTACACATTCCAACACATATTTTAAAATATTAAATCATTTACATGAATTTAACAAGTAAATTACCTTTACTTCTCCAAGAGTTTTCATTGCTGATTCTCTGATAGATTTAAAAGTTTCATCCTAAAAAAGAAGAGATATATTACACAATCATTTATAAGCACTATACAAATTTTCATCTTTTAATTTTAATGACAACATTGTGGTTAAAGAATATAAATAAAAATTTGATGTTTACTCGCTGAAGGTAAATGACATCTGCTTGATTGTTAATAAATTAGAGATGTGAAAACATTTAATAATGCAAATAAAAATATAACTTTTCATGAAATGCTTGTGCATATCAAAACACTCTGCATTCTCATGCAAGGTTTTCACAGTCCAAAAACACATCCACTAGTTGAGATTTTTATAGCCCAATTTATTCCATTTTTTCTATAGTAAACCTCTACTAATTCAATATATGTAAAGTTTAAAATGAATTTTTAAAAATGAAAAAGCTTTCTTGAAGCTTTTATTTTAACTTTAATTGACAGCTAAAGGATTTAAAATTTACTATTTCCAGTCAGCAAAATACTCTGTGGTGTATTTCAAACAGAAATTATATTGATCAGAATCGATTTTTTTCTTTTATTAAAATCAATCAAAATGGCCACTTTTGACATCTTTGTAAACAAAAGTTAATTCTCACTTTTAAAAATCTTGCAAAAATAAAATGTATATTTCTGAAACGTTATTTGAGGAAAATTAGCAAATTTAAAGTTAAATTAATCTGATTTGAAACAAATATTACTTACTTATAGCATAAAATGTATACAAATATTTCTTAACCATTGGGTCTTGTTTTTCTGATGTGTTAATTTATTTACATTTGATTGACAGCCAAATGTATTCATAAGGTATAGCAGACGATTTTTTTTTGCCATAAGGGGGGACAACTGTTAAAACATGGGACTTTTTAATGATAGAATTATTGATTTGTACATTCTTTCCTCGAAAATTCTGCTTGTAATTACACATACAAAAACAAATCAAAATTAAAAAAAAAAAAAATTTTTTTTAAATATTTGGGGTTGTCAGATTGTAATAAGCTTTATTTACACTATATGATTAGTAAATATAGTTTTACTTAATAACAATATTTCCTAAGAATTATCTCGTTGAAAATGAATTTTAAAAGATTTAAAAACTTTATAAATTATTCAATTTAAAATTGTAAAAAACTGAAAACAAATCTTGTAAAAATTCATTTTTTGTCAAAAAAATCTTTTCTTCAGACAATATTGTCTTTAATATATATTATTCATAAAAGAAACTAAAAGCTTCTCTAATTAAATAATGTCTTAGTTTTATTGTGTTTTTTTATTTTTTGATTCAGAACAGATTTTGGGTAAGACTGGGTACAATTTTGCAAAATTTGATTTTCATTAACTTTATTGAACAACATTATTACTGCTTTGTTTCATTATCATCTGGCATCTTTCAGGTAACTTCATAATTCTATCCCCCTATAAATTTTTATCTTTCTTGGCAAACAACTACTCTAGCTGCTTTTTTGCAGTCTCCCAGGGAATTGATTGATTTATTCATTCAATTTTTTATAGCTTATCAACCCTTTTCAAGGTTGATAATGCCAGAAAATATTTTTAGATTGTAAGAATTTTATGGGGGGAGATATTAATGGTTTTGTGATACAAGTTTTATTAATTAATCCATAGCTGGGGGAGAAGAAGCAAATTCATACCTTTTACAAGAGTATTTGCACAGAAGTGAATATAATGAACCCAACAGGAATTCAAACTCAGCTCTACAATTAACAATTCCAAGCCGTTGTCTATTATAGCACCTGCAAATCCAGGCTTAGAGCACCTGGTATTCCCAAATGGTCATCCATCTAGGTACTGACCAGGATTGATATTGCTTAACTTCAGTGATCGTACAGGAACTGGTGTTTCAACGTAATGTAGCCATAAGCCCAGGCAATTGAAATTTATTTCCCATAACAGAATTCTGTAAAGACCGGAATAAATGATAATTGAAAAGGTATAATATTTACTGACTATGGTGGTGAATGAAAACTTCCCAGACAAATGGTAATCATTTTTGGCTGATTACCAAATAAACAGACTGTATAGTATTATCTTTCTCTTCATTGTGAATAATCTATATAAGTTTGTCTTGTTGGCAGCAGTTCTTGTTTAAATCAAGCAGATTATTGTACAAGAATCCCTTCAAATTCCATCATATATATAGCATCATCTTTTAGGATAAAGATTGTCCTTTGAGATGGTTAGTGATATCTTTTATTGTATTTAAAGTTAGGTAGAAGCCACACATTAAAGTTATTAACATAATATAGTGCATGTGATTTTCAATGCTTTATTTCAATATTTGGATATGTTGGATATCTCTTGTCATATAACATTGATTATTCTCAAGTTGTGTCTTGATTTGATCTCTATCCAATAATAGAGCATTATTTAATTACTTACATACTTACTTCATAAATTACACAAAAATTTTTTTTACATTTCAGTCACATTTTTACCTTTCATAAAATGAAAAAGAATCATATACCAAAAATATTGCATATTTTGTTCCATCTTCAATAAACAAAAATATATCAATTTTGACTATTTGTCTTAGAAAAAAAAGGCATGTTGATGGACCAGCTAATACAATCAAAATAGTATTTTGAATGAAGTTATTTTATACTGATAATACCATCTAACAACAAAAACTGAATTTGGAGGGCGTCTAATATATAGACACCAACCTATTTAAGAGAATGATTTGAGGTAATAGGTAAAACAGTTCATAAATACAAACTTATTGTCATGGTAACTGAAGGACAGGGAAATGAAAGAAAGAAATATTTTCGAGCATATCCTTATCCTAATCTTCCTTCTATAAATTTTCTTTTTCCAGAATGAAGCCTCATATAAAGGAATGCATGTTCTTATTTTATTAAACAGCACCTCTATGTATATATAGACATGTAAAATAACTGGGAGGGGATCAAAATATATTGACTAAATATCATTAAAAATTTTATACACTCTTTACATGAAAAATCTCACAACAGATCACAGAGTATCATCCTAATGATAATTTTTTTATCCAAATGTATAAATTGAAAATAAAGGATTGTCCATATTCAGGTTTAAACCTGTTTTTTTTTTTTCTCATCTTGGTTCTATGCCCTAGACAAAATAAATTTGATTTATGACCAGATGTAAAGTATCAAGTATGCACACATCAAACAATATTAACTATCATCATTGAACAATGTTAGGTGTATGCATATCTTTTTTGAAAACTAGCTATTGAATACAGTTTAAAATCATTTTTTTTTCAATGAAAAATTTTGCATATATCTATTTGCTGTCATCATCTTGCCATTCTTTTTTTTTTGTTATATTATTAATAAGTATATATTTTTGCATTTGTAAGTATTGCTTGGTGATGTATACAGAGATCATGTGAGTTGTTCTAATATAAGTACTAGAATAGGTTGTTACCAAGAACTTGCTATCAACAAAGCTATTATAATAAAGGTAATTTCATTAAATTGCTAAGTTATGAAGTTAGATCCTCATTGAAAATAAGTTAAATATATTTGTATTTACCTCAGGCATCTCATACTTCTTATTAAACTGGTAAATTGAATATGCCCGGATAGAATCTCCCATTTCTTCACGGGTTTCAAGAGCTTTTTTTACCAACCACTGAAATAGCAAAGAAAGTAGTTCACATATATTTTATAAATATTATCATGAAAATTTAATAAAAACATTTTATCATTTGTTGTATAATTTAAATTTCTGATTTCATCATCATAATTCAAAGGGTTTTTAACAATGATTTTTAGAATTAACACTTCAGACAAGCTCACAGTAATATTGGAGAGAGTAAAACAAAAAAAAAATGAAATGCAGAAGTTATATCTTACTTGAACCACAGGGAATATATGGATAAAATCCAAACCCTGGATTTGATGGGGTTCAATGCGATGTGGGCACTTCATTCGGGGAAGAACAGAAACAATCTTCTCAGTCAAGGCTCTAGAAAAAGACATAAAATTCTACTAAAAATCATCAATTTATGACTGTTTTCAAACTACACTTAAAATATGTTTATATTGAAAAGTTTCATGCCATATAATACATTTTCTCTATATTTCCTTCAGAATCTTTAGTAGAGGTTAATATATTAAATTGCCTTTCTAAAGAAATACAAATACCACACCAAAATGTTTTTTTAGAAATAAAAGAATACTACCAGCTAAATACAGACTATTATAACTAAATTGACTCATTTAAATTTTTTATTATTAAGAAATATATAGGCAACCACAAAATAGTAAGTAAATAATTGAATAATTTTAAAATGCTTTTGGCAGACCAGTACAGAAGACCTATATTCATGGATACACAGTGTGGTATATGTGTGTGTGTGTGTGTGTATATATATATATATATATATATATATATACACACACACCTCAAATACAATATCTAAAGTAAATCAAATATTGAGAGTTCCACTATTATTTTAAAGAAACTAAAATGGATAACATCCAACCAACATCTAAATGGAAAGAAAAATGAAAGAACTTTGCACAATATATATTTAAAAAACATACAAATTAAAAACAGGCAATGTGTGTGGGTAGATAAAATGATGATAGATCAATAAGTTCAGAGTCTGGTAGTAATTAGCTGAATTTTAATCTGAAATTTTCAGTTTATAATTTTCAAACTATGGGACTAATAGAGAAGCACTGAGTAAATGTATTGAGAAGGAAGGAGATTATGTTGAAAAAAATGTTGCTTTTTCATTATTAAGCTATCTATTTATTGATGCATAATCCATGTGTAACTTAATCTTTGCTAGACCATTAAATTTTGGGATTAATTTCCCCAAGTTATACCTGCTGGGGGTAGAGGCTAAATATATAATGTTCTATATAATGAAAACCATTTTTTTATTCCATGCACCATCTCATTAATTAAACAAATTAAATATCTAAAAACATCTAAAAAAATAATTTTTATAATTATTCAGTTAAGCAAATCAAGTTAGCCACAATATTTTCACCTAAATTCTAAAGTGCCCACCAAAAAATATTCAAATTATACGTAATTTTCAAAATCACTAAATTAGTTTTTAATTTACATTTTTAACTTACTAGTATTGTGTGATTACTATGCAGGTTTAGAGAGAAAAATATAATCATTTTGAATTATCTGACAATGCAAATGAAGACCTATTTTTATGTTGTGTGTGTATATATACTGATTCCTTGTAATAGGACGGTATGTGAGAGGAAGTGCGTATATACATACGCATGCTGATATATATATATATATATATATATATATATATATATATACACATATTGGCAAAAACAACGGGAACACACTTGAACACTACACAGCATAGGAAGTGTTTATATGTGTGTATGTGCACAAATGTGTTTACTAATTCCTTGTAATAAGACAGTGTGTATGTATGGAGAGGGAATATACATACGCATGCTGACAAAAACACAAGAAAATGGAAATAGATCTAAGAACACACAGGGTTCATTAAAAGATAAGAATGGCGATAACTCCTTCACCATTTCTCAGACCAATCTTAATTGTTTTATAACCCTTCACGCAGAACATTTTCAGTGCCAATTCAGGAAGACATTTGGGTCACAAACACACAAAAGAGAGAATGTCTCATACCGAGAATATTTAACATCAAAAAACATAAAATTTAATTATTTTAAATAATATGTGGAAATCTCCACGCTTTGCCTGATGAAGGTTGCAAGACCGGAAACACATGTAGCAAAAATTATGGAAAATAAAGCATATTTAAAAAAAAATCCACATTACAACCAAAAACGTTTGCAATATATATATATATATATATATATATACTAGCAGTAGAACCTGGCGTTGCCCGGGGATGTAAAAGTAAGCGATAGATCAAGTATCGACAATCATAAAGACTGAAAAATAAAATTGACAAAGATTATTGTTTAAGGTTGACGGACACGCATGTCTTAATGATTTGTTTTTTTGTTTTTTTTTATGAATTGGTCAAACCCAAACTCAAACAAAAACATTGTTTTCAATCGTTATGAGTCTATCGATTGAATAGAATTTTATTATAAACAGTTGTCTTCTAAATGGAATTTTTAAAGCATTCCGAATTTACAAATAAAGAAAAAAGTGTGCAAGACAATAAGAAACACTACCTGCCAAAAAAAGTGAAGTTTTGTTAAAATCGGTTGAAAAATGTAGGAAATCCGATCCCATATATAAACGAACACAGACACACACAAACAACCTGGGTTATATAATAAGTTAACTCGAGATGGGTTGTCCCCCTTTCATTCTGGTGACAGAATCGTGTTTTATCATGTTTTCAAATTGATTTTGTGCAAAAACAATTGTGTTTTTCCGATTTTGGGCACTGTCAGAACCACCACAAGGTAATTTTATGTAGTCCTGTGAAGTTTTGTTGAAATCGGTTGAAAAATGTAGGAAATCCGATCCAATATATAAACGTACAGACACACACACACACACACACACAACCTGGGTTTTATAATAAGTAAGATATATATATATATTTGGTTGGATAGATGTGAGTTTGTGACCCTGAGTTTCACGCTTTAGCGATCGTCAGACAAACTGATTAATTTTTTAAAATTTTGGGTTTATGTAGATTGCGTGTATTGGTGTTATTATGGAAGTGGTGGGGGAAATGTCATCGTACTGACGCAAACATCGATGTATGTTCATACGTCTAATGGAGTACGCAGACACATATACATACTTGGTCGTCCGTCGGATCCATACATATATAAACATATGTGGGCAGTTTCGGATATGACATATGTATGTATACGGGTGGTGTTGTGTCTATACATACGCATTTGTATGTTGAAATTCAAAGATTGGGAGTGTAGTGAACATTTTGTGAATGTCTCGTGAATGTATACATGTCATATTTTATTTTTCCACTGAATAATATTTCCTTGCATGTATGTATATATGTGTGGTGGGGTTTGTGTAAAATTATGATAGGTAAAAATATTTATTATTTACATTTATTTTTAAATTTTTGAAAAAAAAGGGGGTTTATTTGTTATATTTAAAGCTGGTTATTTGTTTGTTTTTGATGAGTGTGTATATGTAACAGGTAGAAATTTGTAATCCTTATTGGTTATTTTATATGGTGATATTTAATATTTAATATGCTGGGTGAGAGGGTAGCTTATGTTAATAATTATAGCGGGTCTATATGATATGATAGTAATGTTGCAAGGGATTGGAGACAATGATAATATAATTAGCTAATAGTTATTGTAAATTGGTAGAAATGGTTAGTAACGGTGGGGGGAGAATGATAAAACCATAAATGTAGTTATAGCGGTGGTAGCTTGAACTAAAAAGTAATTGTTGGTGTTATATTTCATTTTGTATTAATTTATTTTGGTATAAATCTTGATAATAGGTATTCTGTGTAAAATTATGATAGTTGAAGATTGCTATAATTTTTAATTTTTAATTTACAAAAAAACATTATTGTTATTATATTAAAGCTGGTTATTTCCTTGTTTTTTGATGACTGTGTATATGTGACTGGTAGAAATTTCAGCTTGTAATCCTTATTGGTTATTTTTATGATGGTATTAAATATGCTGGGAGAGGGGGTAGTTTACGTTAAAAATTATGGCGGGTTTATATGGTAATGGTAGATGTGATGTGATAGCAATGTGTAAGGGGGTTGGTGGCAATGATAATATAAGTGGTTAATATTTATTGTAAAATGTTAGTAGTAATGTTGGTGGGAGAATAATAAAAACCTATAAATGTAATTATTGTGGTGCTAGCTTGAACTAAAGAGTGGTTGTTGGTGTTTTATTTTATTTTGTTTTCTATATATATTTGTTTATTTTTATTTATTTTGGTATGAATCCTGGTAATGAGTATTTATTCTCATGGTTACATGTGGAAATTATATCTGATCTTATTGTTTTAAGGTATTAAATATGCTGGGGGAGTAATATACGTTAATGATTATAGTGGATTTATATGTTAATAGTAGATGTGATGTGTAAGTGATAGTATTGGGTGTTGGTGGTAATGATAATATTATTAGTTAGTTATTGTAAAGTGTTAGAAGTGATTACTAATGGTGGTGCAATTATAATAATGATAGATGCAATTATTGTGATGGTACCTTGAAATTAAATTGTGATTTTTGTTGGTTTGTCTTTTTTATCCGTTTGGTATGAATTCAGATAGTAGGTACTTGTTCTCATGCCTACATTTGGAGATTATCTCTGATTTTTTGTTTAGTAAATTCTTTTGCGGTTTGTGTGATATTATTGCTACTTTTTCGTGTAGGCAAAGTATATATATATATATATATACACCAATTCTCACATCCAAACATGTATCATTGAGAATTCATGCCAAATTGTTCTTTGAGTGTGTATGATCTGCACTGCTCCATGGTAGTGAAATTTGGGTACCAAGTATGTCAGTCTTATGGCAGCTTCACAACAATGACCACTAAATAATTTGCTGGATCTGCGCCACCAAGCTTCAGTATGAAAACCCCTCATCCAAGTTGTTAGCATGGCTTGGTATCGAGGAAATAGCATCAGTGCTGCACACCCATCGTCTTAGATGGTTTGGTCATGTCCAATGAGTTTCATCTTGCATCGGGACTGTCTTGGATTCTGATCACAGAGGTCGAGGTAGACCTAGGAAGACGTGGAAGGACTTCATTGGGAGGGATGTGTGGCCTTGCTCACATTAGCTTGCTTGACTGAGATGCTTGGAAAGAAGGAGTGAGAGCTAGTTGACTGCTGCCTACCTCAGTCACTTGGAAACCCGCAGCAGTATAATCAAAGCTCTGGATCTTGACTTGGGATGAAATGAATTACCTACTGTAAGTAGAACTTGGTAATTCCTCCCTTGTATTAAACTGAGGAAGCACATAAATTATATCATGTTCATTTTTGTTTGTTTTTTTTTATTGTTTTTATGAGATTGAAAATAATGTAGTTTTGAACTGCTCAACTAAACAAGGATTGATTAATAGATAAGTGTCTTTATGCAGTTTAATGACATATAGGAAGTATAAATTTTCAGTGTCTGGTCAGAGAGTGTTACTAATGGATATCATGTTTTATCTACTGTTCCCACATATGTATTTATTTATAAAGATAAAAACTTCTATACTTACATTTTCTGGCCAATACTGGAATTTTCTGTAAAGAGCAAATCTACATCAACATCAAAATTGCATGTTGTTATACACCAAGTCATTCCACCAACAACCTTTAAAAAAAATAAAAAAATAAAGCTGAAATTAATGTAGTTACTGTTAATATTTTAATGATGGAGCAGCTCAACAAATGGATACAAATTATTGCAAAAATATTCAGAAAAAATTTGAAAAATTTTCTATTAATTAGTAAAGGGAACAAAAGTGGACAAATATTTAAAGATATTACAGATTTATTTACAGTTTTTTCAATTTAAATGAAGAGGACTAGATTTATCCGCAGTTATCAAAAAACAAGTTGATTAATTTTAAAAAGATTTCTGAAGAATAATTTCTGGGATGAGGAGTTTTCATTATTTACACATCCACATCTACGCTGTTCCAGCGTTCATCAGGTGATTGTTGAGCCAAGTAACTTTCAGGAAATTTCAAAATAAACATTTTATTTAATCTATAAGAGTAGATTGTCCAGAGATATTTTATGTAGTTCTTATTTTAGTACACTTCAGTTATTGCACCGCCCAGCCCAGGGATTGAACACACAATTACTGTCACCAAATTTTGTCACTAAGGTTTTAATCCACTAGGCTACTGACAATTCTAAGTGGAGAACTTTAAGCCTTAATCATAACCTTCTTGCTGATGCTACTTGTCACACACAACTACATGCACTGAGGCTTCCCTTTTTACTGTAGCTGTTGCTGCTGTTCAAACCTTACTGACACTTCTTTTTAGTTAATAATGCTTTCTGTACTGTTCATTTCTATCCTAGGGCTACTAAGGAGATCTTTATAGCCTTGCTTATGAGCAGATTATATCAGACATCTGACTCAAGTATTTTTGCTTCATTCCACACGAATTGATGACAACACCTTTTTCATCCATACATATTCAACCATTCCTGATTTCATCATCTAATTATGATTTTTCAATGTTCTTTCAGCCTTACTTCAGGTGTGGCTAGTTCATTTTAAATATTAAAATTTCTATGAAAATTTTGCTTTAGTTTTCTGTCAAAGATGTATTCTAAATTAAAGCAAAAAACTAAAGACTGTGAACTGAAATTAGTGAATAAAAATCCAACAACTAATTTCAGAAATTTTAAATAAATAAAATTTGTTTCCATGGAATGACTCAATTCATGAAATTTAGGTAACTAAATTTAAATGAAATTCTGAGTGGCTCACTACTGATCAGCTTAAATCCCTTATCTCCTAATGTAGCATGTTAGGTGAATGGAAATGATAAGCAATACAGATAACAGTAACTTTCAAAAAGGACAGCTTCAATGCACTTTAATAGTATATTAAAGTAAGAGTAAAAATAGAGCTTTTGATCAAGGGAGATTTCAATATTTACCCACAACACATGAATATTTCATATTTTACAAGACAGCATCCATGTATTTATAACAGATTGAAAACAAAGTTTTTTTTCCATTTAAATGCCATGTCCTTTTATGATGTTGGCAATCATGGCTCTCGACAGCTTCCTATTTTTGTTAGTTTAAAGAATTCTTGCCTCTTTACAACCCTTGTGTTCCTTGTTCTGCCATACATTTATCCAAATTCATCAAGTAGATTGCTTACTGTTTCCAATGTTTCTCTTGCCTTCAATGTCTTGTGAGTGTTGCTTTTTATTGATGAATATAATGTCAGGTTTTATCAATGCATCAGCTTTAATTAACTCTTAAACTCACAGATTCAAAGAAATACTATATATTTACATTGCAAATCTTCATTGCTAATGTTGTTTCAACAATTGTAGGGGTACTGTCAAATCTGCAAAACTTGTGGGGATCTAGTTTCGAGATGGTAGTATAAATCATGGACTGAATTATGTGCATATCACAGAGTAGAAATTCTGTTCAAGGGGTAAAATTATGCCAAGATACTCCTGAAGAAGAGTCAAGAGAATAATTATATTTACGTTTTATCTTTCATAAGCTTACAAATTATATCTTGCAGGTATTCTTTTTGTTAAAATTATCATAATTCCCCATGTATAATACGCATTTTTTTCTAAAAAATAATAAACAAAATTAGGGGTGCGTATTATGCACAGCTACAAAAAAATCTTTAAAAAGCTGCAGTTTCTTAGGTCAATTTCAGTTGTGAAGTGGCTACTCACTACCAACATATGACAATTTGACACTAACATTCAGTGATTGTGACCCCATAAGGATGTCAAATATAAACATATGTACCTAACTACTTACAAATGTAAAATAAAATAAGAATTATCATAAAACTAAATTAGAATAATATTATTCTATGTTCAAAACCATTTTTTTTAATAAGAGTAGGAAAGTATTCAGAAATTAGGCATGACCAAATTAATTAAAGTTTGAAATCAGTACATCTTGGAAATTACACAAACACATACAATTATGGGGGAAAAATATATAACCATTTCTGAAAATTTTGACTTATTAGATTGCCTATAACTGAATTTTCAGAAGTTGAACTAAAGGAAATTTTACTTAAACAATTTGTTGCTATTTATTATTTAAGTCATTCACTATGATGTCATCAGTTCAGCATTCACCAAGTTATAAATCAAAAGTTTTCCTGACCTTTGAATTGAAGAGTTCATTTCAAATACATCAAAATAACTACATGTCAACAAATGACAGTTGTTCCAAGTCAGGAAATACTTGCCTTCGATTTAGAACCTCACCTTTTGACCCACTTTATAGTTTGTTTGTTTTTGTTTTTTTGTTTTTTTTTATTTAAGTACACCATGGACAGTTCTCCGACTAATTAAAAATATAGAGAGTGGTTATGTAGCTATGAATCTGAATGTATTTCAAATTCATCAGTTTAAATCTAATAAGCTACTTCAGAGTAGCTTTTCCAATAATCACTTAATCCTTAGCAGTTATCTTTAATACAATAATTTGTAAATAATTTGCAAAATAGTATCATATTATATGCTGAAAGATATCTTGTTTGAAACAATTTTAACATAAATTGCTATTCATGTAGTCATGTTACTATACTGCTTGACATCACCTTAAAAATGAAATATGATTATCATAAAAGCATTACAAATAAGAAAAAAAATTCAATGTAAATTATAAAATTTCTGTAGAACTAGAGATATTTAATGTACAATGTGTAAACTTAGTTCAAATTCTAGCCTTGTCTTATGTTTACTTTTGTATTAATGCCCTCTGAAAGGCATGAATCCATTTCTTATCTATCAATAGGTTAATAATAATTTAGAATGGAATTTCTAAGAAAAGAAGTACTACATTGAATTCAAAATTATGGAGAAGGCAATAGGAAAACACTATTTTTCCCAAGAAGTCAAAGTGGTTCACAGATAATAAAGAAAAGGAATTTGTGGAGGGCCATGATCAATTACAACATGAAGTGACCTGGCATTTAAAAATATGCACAATATAAGATGAGCCAAACTAATTTTGTCTACTGATAAAAATCATAAGTTTGTTCTAATAATACACAGACCTGTATAAGAGACTGTTATTTTTATTAGCTATTTCTCAACTATCTTATTGATTGCTCTTGTTCTGAAATATACTTCACATTCTCAAGTGTATATATTTTCACCTGACATGACCTTTACAATAAAATTTCTTTTAGATTTAAAGCTTTTCTTTCTGGGATGAGGAGTTATCATTATTTACACTATTTATATTCTGACTATTGTCCTCATCTTTATTGTTGTTATCACAACGTTTCGGCTGTTGTGCCCTCCAGCCTTCCTCATGTATTCCTATTCATGTCTTATAAATAAGAATTAGATAATATCCCTAGACATGAGCAGTGGAACGAGAACAGTCTAATGATTTATAAAGAATAAATAATGATTTAAGGCATTGTTTATATTTTTTTAAGAGGTCACTTGCTTCACAAATTATTTAATTTAAAACACTTCCCAATATAAGAAAGTCTATCAATTTCATAATGTAGAGTAATTAGCTATGGTTAAGTTTAATTGGCAGAAATGCTCAACACATAAAATTGACAAACTTTGTAATAAACAATAACAAAAGAAAGAAAAGGACAAGGCAAAATTAATATTAAGCAAGCAAACAAGCAAGATAAAGCAACAGTAATAAGGCAAAATGTTCACAAACTAAGAATGATGTTGACACATGAGATACAGACAAGCAATCAACAAGTTCTGACTTCAAGCCAAGAAAGAACAGAACTATGGTGGATGAGACCAAAAAGTAGCCTATTTTAGCTAGGGAGAAATCCCAGCATGCATCTGAATATTTTGTCTATAAATTTAGGGAGGGGGGTGTTTTTGCAGTCATTCCCATATAGATTGAAACCAACAAATAAGCTTGTGGTTGATAAAAAAAATTAAAAATGAGGGACAGATTTGTTTTCAATATCATTGTCTTTCTTTCAATGCAAAAGGGGGTGATACATAGTCTTGCTTGAGCACTGTAGCTTCTCCTTTTAAAATTTAAGGAAAATATTTAATAATCTTTTTGTTATTGGACTTATCATCTAAAACATCATTATTTTTAAAATGTCAGATAAGCAACAAATGCTGCTTGAATATCTTTTTAAAAATCCTTAAAAAGGTGATGGAATAAATCAAAAGTAATTAAGTCATTTTCAAAGGACATTGATTTAGAATAAGACCTAATTTGATGCTCAAAAAACAAAAATCCCTTTTCATTTTATATTACAATTATGCACATCATGAAACCCAGAAAAATTGGAAACAAGTTATTTCTTCTATTAGTTTTTGAGTTAAACATGAAAAGGCTATTATCTCCATCACACAGTAATAAAATTACTTTCTTCATTGATATTTCTTTTGATCAAATAAATTCAAAATGTTTCATAGATTTAACAATCCTCAAGCACCATATAAGTGGGCTAATACTGCAATTTAAATGTATTTATATTTTCTTACTATGTTTTAAAGGTTACCACAAAATAGCTGCACTGTATATGAATACATGAGTTACCTAGGCAAAACGATGTCCCTGTAAAACTATTTTAGTTCAAATATATCTTAAAGATTAAATTTTTTTCCAACTTATTTATTTGTGGAAATATAGTCT